CAAGTCGATTAATTGAAAGGATACTAGATTAATGATTTCTTTATATTATATTGGATATATATTGAATTGTATTGATTAAATGAGACATTATATTTTTTCTTTAGATATAAATTCTTAATTAGTTGGTTGATTCAATAAGAAATATTTAAATTACTAATGAATTAACATTGAATCGGTACTAGTCGTGCTTAAATATATGCATATAAATAATATAATAGTAGGTTTTTTTTACGTTACGTTACTCGATGTCGTATCAAGTAAACAGATAAGATCGGCAACATCGCTTAAATGAAACTAGTAATATTGACAAACAATATAATGTAAATAAATATATACAAAATAAAAAAATTCTATCAGTACAATAAATGCTATTGGAACTTATCCTGAACAGACTCCGATGATTTAAATAGTATTGTTGTTAATGGTTCAAAAAAAAAACTAGTTTTCTGTTACAATAATAAGAATATAAAAACAGACTTATTACCACACTCATTATTAAATTAATATACAAACGCATTCCAAACGAAGTCAATATGGTTAATCTCTGATTAAATTTATTTTTTATTACCACTATTTTTATTGTTCATACTTTTATTTAGTTTTTACTACCTAACATACCAAGAATCGATTAAATGTTTCCAGGCACTTCACTACCCATCTACCGTAATCTATTATGTTGTTATTTAAAACGGTAATTTCGCGATATTCATTACATTACGTGCTTAGTACGACGCAATGTAATAAATATGCGCACTTCTCCAGCAATGTATATTTTCTTGTAAATATTTTTTGTGATTCACACTTTGGATAACATTTCACGATTTTCGACTAAAAATACTAAATTTGAGAAGTGTTCTACTCACAGAACATAGAGAGAGAATAGAAGTAGTAAGTGGGCGGGGCACGCGTCGCTGGCATATGCGCTTTTACTCATATGACGCCCTTTCCTCGGTTTTATGTTTGCCAGTCGTTCGTCAATCGTCGAGTGGTGATTTTACAGATTTTTTTTATAAAAAATGCCGTTTTGTGCTATTATCACTTGCAAAAAGCAAAGCAAAGTATACAATCTAACTAATGCAAACATTTCCTTTCACTGGTAAGTACAATTTTAGTGCTAAAATATAAAAAACGTAATAATTTGACACAATGTTAAATAAAATATACATTGATTGCTCAAACCAACATCAATGTTTCTGACCCCATTACTAAACAGCAATGTAAATCATTTTGTGCACTTTTGCAAAAAATAGCGCTGTGCCTCCATTTGTCTGAAATGTACCGATAGGCTGCTGCTGCTCGGAATCGTATTGTTATTTATATGGATCGTAATCGATAACTAAAACATATTTATTTAGAGCTTTTCTTTCATCATTTCATAACAACGTTATCGATAAATATATGCCATAATTATATAAAACTAAAAAATACTGTTTACAAGGGAAAATTATAGATGAACTGATACTGAACAAATGAAATAATGAACTGTCCAGGCACTTTTAATACGAAGATTCGGTTAATTATTTACACGCAGATAAATATTAAAAATTACTGATGTGCTATAAATATCTAAGTTACGAAGTATATCACCGTTTTATGAACAATACATAAATTAAACGAAACTTCGTGAAAAGCTAAGAGTTGGCCTAATAGGTCTTGTTAGAAACTGGTGAAACTGGATTTCACTTATTTTGCATTACTTATATTTCAGTTTCCCTAATAACTTTACAACGGATTGCCTTGTTTACATAATTAATTTTGCCCTATCTGTTTTAGACCTAAACCTATCAAATGAATTTCAAAACAACATAATATCTATACAAACAAAAAATTATGTTTTCAACTAACGTAATATTGTTGGTGGTGTGAATTTAATTTACAAAATTAATTTTTAGGCGTCAATTTAATTTACCTTATTCTGCTGATTCATAATCGGAAACTATTATTATAGAAATCGAGTTAAGAAAGTCACTTTAAAGAACCGCCCACAGAACAGCTTTTATCAGTTTTTTTGTTGCTCCATATTTGCACATAAGTTTATAGACGCATGTCTCAAACGGATGTGACTTTATATGTAGATTGACGTTTGTACGTACTTATCGCTTTTGTGTCTATCTTCAAACTTTTTTTGTCACGGCTTTCAAACTCATACTTGACCAGCGATTCCTTATTGTCCAGTCGTTGCAATTAATAATGTAGCTACTACTATTATTACAGATATAAAACTTAGAATAATAAAGTAAAACAAACATGGCTATGATCAATTTATTAGTGTAATGATCATATTAGTTATTATGAAATGAAATGAAAATATCTTTATTCAAGAAGGCTATTACAAGCACTTGGAATGGCAAGTTTATTTTTATTTCTACTTTTTTTTGTGAAGGAATCGTAATGTTTTCTTGCGTACATAATATTTTCATTGATGTATTGAGAGGCAACAGTCAAAATATTTATTTCTTTAAATATTTCTCTGAGAGATTCTCTAGACCGTAAATTATATATAGCGTGGACAGCTCTCTTTTGTAGAATAAAAATATCTTGAATGCTAGCCGCAGAACCCCATAACAATAGATTATACGTCATTCATTACACTATGAAAATAACTAAAATATACCAATCTTGCCGTTTCAACATTTGTTAAGAGTCTAATTTTCTTAACAGCAAATGCTGCAGAACTCAGTCTACTTGACAAATTATCAATATACCAAAATACCAAGGAACTTTGTCGATTCCACCATCTCAACTTTTTCACTATTTACATTTATAAGTATATTAACATGCCTCACATTAGGTAATGCAAACTTTATGTATTTCGTTTTATTTGAATAAAGCTTTAAATAATTACTATCAAACCACTGTAGAAAATTGTCGAACTGAATTACATTGAACTGTTTCATAACAAAATTTAAAGCTCTTATTTTATCAACTAATATGTCACATCACTAATATGCACAATCGGAATGATACCAGTAAGAAAAAAATACAAATTAGGCTTAATGTAATTAATACAAAAATTCTGTTGTTTTCTTAATTTTTGTTTTTTTTACACTTTCCCTCGCTTAATTATATTACTCCACAGACATACGATAGAGTGTATCATTAAGTTTTCTTAGTTTTTGTACTGCGTTTTTTAAAAGATATTTTAATAAATTATGTAGGGAAAAGCCTTAATTTTTCAGTATTCACTTGGTTACAGCAAAATCTAATATTAATAGTTCGCACATAAAATGATGACCCCAATTTTTTTAAATGTGCATAATCTTAAAATATTTTTTTCCTTCTGGTATCCCCATATACAGCCACGTGACAGTTCAACATTCATGTTAAAGTAAATTATTTATTATCACGTTGAATTAGAGTTTGTTTTTAATCGTGTGATTTCTTAGCTTAGTATCTTTTTGGGATTTGATTTATGTTATCGCGAACCTATCGCGTGGCGGTTTTTCATGTAGTGAACAAAATGATCATTTCATCTAATCTGCATTTGTGTGCGGAGAGGCGACACTCGGTTCCCATACTAAATTAATATCATTATACTTCTAATCTCTCTCTATGTTCTGTGTTCTACTTAATAATGGAAAGAAATCCTTCCTTAAGACGTATTTGAGGATGGGCTTCTTGTTTTGCAATTAATGACTGCGAAAGTCGGCATTTTTAACACTTTTAGTGGCGTGTTTCACAGTACTTACAGCGCGCGCGTTCGTGAACGACTAAACATCGCGATCGCGTGGTGAAGTCACGATTTGTCTGGGATCGTGGCTCCAGTGCCACGCCCACAAGGCCCTTCTAACGTCTTTCTGTGTTCTGTGGTTTATAATGTATCAAATAAGCGTTTGAAATAAATACCCTATTAGGAATACGATTTTTATAGGTATATTTTAACCCATTAATTAATTTTAAATAAGTTTTGAAATATTATCAACTCACGGATTAAATGCACTCCTATTAATGGTATATTTTTGTCCGTTGTCTCGTATAAGATGTGGCAGTTCGCCCCCAACTCGGTCCACTACCTGCTGTCGTTGTGGCAGCGTATGGTGGCGTCTGTACCGTACGTGAAGGCGACGGAGCCTCACTTGCTGGAGACGTACGCGCCGGGCGTTACCGCCGCATATATCGCCTCCAGATTGGATTCAGTTGCTTGTGTAGTCACGTGAGTATTTATTAGAGACGCTCCGAGTAGTGGTCTCATCTGATAATCGAAAACCATAATTCCTATTTGTTGTTGTCCAACAGGGATGGGTTAGAGGACCCTCTAGACGACACAGGGACGGTCCAGCAGCAGCTGGAACAGCTGTCCGTTATAGGCAGGTGCGAGTACGGGAAGACTTGCCAGCTGTTGGTGGCACATTTGGACCGAGCGGCCGCTGCTTACAGCGTGGAGACACAGCCGCAGAGGCTACTGGTGTTACACGGTGAGTTCTATATGTACTATCGCGGATATTTGCGCTCCTCCACTTCGATATTTGCATGAACACGTCTCTTACACCGTTTACTACGCCTCGCTCACTCACGCACTACTATAACGATAAACTGTCCGTGAGTGCCGTGTACAAGGATGTGTACTTGAATGAACACTTTTTTGTTTAATTATTTTTAGTTGCAAGCTGCATTTCGCTCATTGTCAACGCATCTCATTGTGATATTTGTTAATCTATCTACTGTTTATACTACCCGGACTCTGATTTTTGCTTCCCCGAAACATCGGCTTTGTTGTGTGCAGTGTCCACATTCTTTTTGTTGGTCTTCCAGCAATTAACACAAATTGGGGGAAATTATTTACTTTTACACACAGCGTATATGTGGTTGCCCAGTGGGTACAGACCACTTCTTTTTCGGTACAGAATTTTTTAGTGTGTCCATAGGCCAAACAGCGCGAGCATTGTATCAGAGGGGAATGGTCCTCCACTCGGGAGAACCCAAATCTCATTTGCAGAGTCCCCTCCTCTGTTAACAATTTCTAAGTCTTTGGATCCGTCCGTAAAACGGGTGCGCGGTTAGAGAGCCTTGGTTTAGGGCTTAAGGTACATTTCCCCTGCGTAAAAAAAAATATTATTAACTTACATTTGGTGTCTGAATTGAGATAAGCACATATCAAACTGTACTTAAACGTGACTTAGACAGGTTTTTTTCTGATTTAAGTTTTTTTAATGTTATGTTGTTAGCAGTTTGATAAAACTATGACTTTTCAACTCAAGAACCGTAAAATACTCAAGTTACTGAGAATAGTCAGTTGAAAATTTGTACTTTTCTCAAGTTAGGCCGTTAGTGTGATGATGAAGTGTCTCTCCTCAGGTCAGTTAACCTGGTTGGTGTACATAATCGGTGCGGCGATAGGTGGTCGCGCGTCTGTCAACACGTGCGATGAGAACGACGCGATGGACGGCGAACTGGTCTGCAGGGTGCTGCAGCTTATGGATCTGACTGACTCCAGACTAACCAGGGTCAGTATTAGGGTGTTTGAGTAATTTTGAAAAAAAAAGTTTTAAATTTGTATTGATTTTTTATATTTTTACTATCCATAAATGGTTTCATCGCGTTTATATTTAGTTTTATTAACGTTTCGGATCCTTTACAGGTACCGTGTTTATATAAGACTAAGGTGTTGATTGTCTTTTGAAGTAAGAGTATAGTATACCTTCAAACCAATATTGGAATTGTCTATTTGTCAAAATTGACAAAAAAAAGGGTTTATTATATTGGACAAACTTACAATACAATTTTTTTTTGTATTGTGAATGTGTCCAATAGTTTTGTTTATTGACACATTCACACAAACAAACAAACGCGCTGAAACTGTTTAAAGTTGTTTCATGTAATGAATAGTGTATGAATCGGCAATCCGCATAATAATAACTTATCGAAAATATCACTCTTATTTCTAATATTGTAATGCAATGTGACTTCATATTCTAATGATTTCAATAAGACTTCTCTGTGTGAAATAAAACAGGGAGAAAAAAGCAGCCGTTGCTGAGTTTCTTGCCGGTTCTTCTCAGTACAAGGTCTCCCGCCATTGTTTTGCGAACCGATGGCGCAGTTTTCGTCTTTCACAAGTGCTCGTAACAGCCTAAACTGAATAAATAAAATCAAAATCAGAAGATTTTGTTTTTTTTTTATTTTAGTGCGCAATAAATATAAAAAATGAGTATATATATAACGGCGGGTAGTCTCAGGGGGCTATTATGAAGCCCAAATAGATGGTCCATATCGGAGTACTATCTTTAAAATAACACTGCAGGCGTGTATACCAACGTGGATTTGTTCCATTTTATCACTTTTCATCCTAAAATATAACGAGATGAGCGTGATGTCATCTGATGTCTTTACTCCTCGGCGTTTGGAACTTGGTTTTTATAAACGAACTGTCAAAGTCAGTGTCACCATTCTAATAAAATTAAAAGTATCGATGATCACGCTCTCTTTAAAATCGACTAATTAAGTAATCGAGTAATTAGCAATTAAAATAAAAGAAACTAAATCAAACGATCTTCGTAATGATGATGCGACATATATATATATATATATTTTATATACTCGTATTTTTGACCATTTAATTTTTGCTTGTATATACAGGGTGGTTGCGAGAAACTAGAACTGGCAATGATGTCGTTCTTTGAGCATTTCCGCAAGATATACGTCGGTGAACAAGTACAGAAGAACAGTAAAGTGTACAGGCGACTGAGCGAAGTGCTGGGGCTGAGTGATGAATCGCAACTGCTGAGTGTACTCATGAGAAAAATGTGAGTAAATTTGTGCCAATACGTATGCAGGGTACGCGGATATTTGCAAATGCCGAACAATTTTATTTATATTCAAAAATATCTTATTGAAATTAACACGTTGATCGTTGGTATAATAAATTAAAGTTGTTATTGAAACAATTTGTGAAATATTCAGAACACAAATTATTATCGATTAGCAAAAAAATATAAGAAACAAATCAATAACTCTTTGAATGTCGCAGTGTACCGGCCGCGGCCACTCGAACTCGTATTCGTCTTCGAATCATGCTCTGTTATCATGCTTTGTTTACGATCAAAATCGTTGCTTCTGAAATAAAAAAGAAAGAAATAGTCATTAAATATTTTTTCATATAACTGTATTGAAGAAAAGAAAAAGAAAAAATGAAATTCCTTCGAATAGCTGCATGGAACATAAATGGCCTACCCACAAATAAGCAAGAAGTAGAGCTATTCATGAATCACAACAACATAGATATATTATTAATTTCTGAAACACATACGACTGACCAAAAAGTGGTTAAATTCAAAGGATGCAATATATACTATGCTAACCATCCAGATGGCACATCACATGCTGGGGCCGCAGTGATAATTAGGGAACACATTAAACACCACGCCGTTCCAAACTTTACACATGCACACATACAGGCCGCAATAATATCTATAGATGACTGGCAGGGATCACTTGGTGTGGCTGCAGTGTACTGTCCCCCACGACATCGCATAGATGAACAAATGTTTACAGATTTCTTCCAAACATTTGGTGACAGATACATAGCAGGAGGAGATTGGAATGCTAAAAACACCTTCTGGGGCTCCCGATTGACTACGACAAAGGGTCGAGAACTGAAAAAGGCAATTGATAGTAACAACCTCAATGTAATATCAACAGGAGAACCAACTCACTGGCCTTCTGACCCTAACAAAACTCCAGATCTCATCGACTTCTTCATCACTAAAAGGATATCAGGACTCTATACAAAAGTTGAATCATGTCTCGACGGGTCCTCAAATCATACACCCGTAATATGCACACTAAGCACCACAGTCATCTGGAAAGAACCACGTGAGACCCTGTATTACCATAAAACTGATTGGGAGTCTTTTCGAAACTATATCGATGAAAATGTCAATCTGCACATCCCTCTTAAAACGATAGAGGAATTAGAGGATGCTGCGTGGTATACGACTAACCTAATACAAAAGTCGGCCTGGCTATCAACTCCATACATAGCATCAAAACCACAAAGCCATGACACTACTTTGGAAATAAGAGAGATGATAGCCGCAAAGAGAAGACTACGACATCGATGGCACACCAGCAGGAATCGTCAAGACAAAAAAGCACTTAATAAAATGCAAAAAGAACTCAAGGAAATGCTTAGAGAAAATGAGAACAATACCCTCCAAGACAGACTCAAGACTCTATCACCATACAAAGCAGAGGATTATACACTTTGGAAAATAACCAAATCACTAAAAAGGCCAAAAGAACACATGCCTCCACTAAGACAAGCTAACGGCAACTGGTCACGAAAATCCCAAGATAAAGCTGAGCTGTTCGCTGATTTCCTTAAGAACGTATTTAAACCCAATGAACCTGATAACGCACACACCGAACAGGAAATTGATGATGTCTTGAACAGCGACCAACAGCTTTCCTCACCATTGAGACTAGTGACAACAGCAGAAGTTAAAAAGACTATCATGAATTTGAAACAAAAAAAGGCACCAGGGTTTGATCTAATAACAGCAGAAGTTCTTAAACAACTACCAAGAAAAGCCATCGTCCTGCTTACAATCCTCTTTAATACTATACTAAGATTACAACATTTCCCAGAGGTATGGAAAGTATCCATAATAAACATGATAGCCAAACCGGGCAAGCCTCCTACGGAGGTTACATCATACAGACCCATAAGCGTTCTCCCCTTGTTGTCGAAAGTTTTCGAGAAATTGGCCCTGATGCGTCTTTTGCCGGTACTAAAAGAACAAAAAGTAATACCCGATCACCAGTTCGGTTTTCGCGCAAACCATGGGACAACAGAGCAAATACACCGAGTAGCTCACACGATACGGCATACTAAATAAAAGAATACTGCTCGGCTGTTTTCCTCGATATTCAGCAAGCCTTTGACCGCGTGTGGCACAAGGGCCTCTTATATAAGCTAAAGCTTCATCTGCCAAATACTGCGTACATGCTGCTCAGGTCCTATTTGCAGAACAGATCATTCCAGGTCAAATGTGAGGATTCTCTGTCATCTATCTGCCAAATAGAGGCGGGAGTACCCCAGGGTTCGGTACTAGGTCCCGTTCTATACACGGTTTACACTGCTGATCTACCCACCTCAGATGAAGTTGTGACTGCAACCTATGCAGATGACACGGCAGTTCTCTCCTGTAGTAAAGATCCAAACACAGCATTCGTAAAACTGCAGGAATGTCTGGACGAAATTGGACTATGGCTGAAGAAGTGGAGAATCCGCGCAAGTCCAGCGAAATCGGTCCACGTCACGTTCACTCTGAAGAGAGGAGACTGCCCGCCCGTGACACTGGACGGTGCTCTATTGTCAACAGACACAGCAGTTAGATACCTAGGCATGCACCTAGATAGAAGACTCACTTGGCGGGCTCATATAAAGGCCAAAAGAGAACAGGCAAACAAAAAGTTTAGAGATATGTACTGGTTGTTGGGCAGACAATCAACTTTAAGTCTGGAAAATAAAGTCCTTATTTACAAGTGCATCCTAAAACCGATATGGACATACGGTATTGAACTTTGGGGATCAGCGAGTCACTCGAATGTAGAAATCCTCCAGCGCTACCAGAACAAAGTGTCAAAGAAATTGATAAATGCGCCATGGTTCACACGGAATACGGAAGTGCATGAATACTTAGAAATTCCGACAGTTAACGAGGAAATAAAGAATTCCTCTGTGTCCTACAACCGACGCCTGGAGCGACACATCAACCATCTGGCTTCTCAGCTCACACACAGAGACAACTTGCTACTTCGGCTAAAAAGAAAGCAATTGGCCCCAATATAGGTTTATTATAATAATAAGAGATGACACATCGCTGGATGTGCATTCTCCAAAAGACTAAGAGCAGAACATCCAATCTGATTAAAGCCATCAGGCTGATAGTAGATGCATGAGGAAAAAAAAAAAAAAAAAAACTGTATTGAATATTTTCGTAGTTTTAAAACGCACTGTGGCATCATAACACGTCCGAACGTTGGCGCCTCACAAACAAACTGAAACAATATAATATCTCACTTTGAAGTGAAGCGTTACTTCTTTGGTCATTTTTGAGACTGACTAGGCATCTAGTTGTATTGTTGAGCGAAGCTTGGTAGCTGTTATATATATGGATTATTTTGTTTTGTTTATTGTTTTTTACCTAGTGTTGTAAATAAAAGTACAAATGATTAATGTAAAAGTACCTAAGTATTTGTATGAATATTTTGTGCAGAATTTGTTTTTTTAATTCATATTATGTTGTTGTTTCTCAATTTATATACCCAAATATTGTTGCTATCAAGTCTGGTTAAATATTGTGTATTGTTAAAAAAAGTTACATTTTAGAGAAATTCAATATTAATAATAATCATTCACTCTTTGTATAATACGGCTATCAGAATACCATGATATGCCTAATTTATCCAGTTGGTTTTAAACTTCATACTCATAGCATTAAAGCTTAAAATCGACTTTATAAACTTTACAGATTTGTACAGTTTGACGTGCTGTTGAATTCACATGACTGTTTGTTGCCTTAAATATAGATGATAACAAAAATTTAGTATATAAATAAATAAATATATAACAAAAATACATACATGGCTCAGATTCCAAAATGAGTAGCTAAAGCCCCCGTATTATGGAGTATCTGAGACAACGATGGCCCTACAACACCCAGACCCGAGACAATATAAAAAAGTTAATTTTCTACATTGACCCGACCGCTTATGGCGCCGAACCCGGGGCCTCAGAGATGGCGACACCTCGAAACCGGCGTGCGAATCACTCGAAATATAAGAAATATTGCAAACGGTTACAACTTACTTCCACCTTAAAACTTATTCTTTATAGAAGTGCCATTTTTTTTTCCAGAAGTTCCAGGGAATCGAAACCGGGACTCTGTCGAATTTAAAAAACCAGCACTCTTAATAGAATTTTGTTGCAGAATCACAAATTTGAAGTACTGGGGCGGCAGCGAACAGATTATAGCTAAAACACTCGGCCTGCTGAGCGACTTGAGCGGCGGGTACTCGTGTGTGAGGAAACTCGTCAAACTTGAGGAGACGCAGTTCATGCTCACCCATCATACGGTAACCACACACCATATATACTATATATTGTACACACTATGTATTATATGTGAAGAAAATTTTGCAAATTAAATTAACCGACTTTTCGGTTTTCAAATGAGCTGAAATTTTGCATACGAATATAACTTGGATGATAGGACAATGTTATTATGAAATGGAGCGTATCAGTTATACTATTCCGTTAGAAAATAACCCGGAAGTCGATGTCGAGCGCTGCGTTTTCACAGCCTTTCTCAAAAGTGTGGGATATCGCCCCCTTGTGGGCGTGGTAAAAGATCCAGAACAAATGGGGGCGCTGCACAACGCCCCCATTTGTATTTGCTTAGCCCACTTGTATGAGCTTACTTGGCTATTTGTAATTGTAATTTAATCTAGGAAGACTCTAAACAAATTAAGCTCTCGACTAGAAATTGTAAACATAAGCTAATATTAATTAAGAGGTATCTGAAACTAACTTGATTCGATAATTCTCTCCGTATAGTTTAAATATAATCAACCCTGTTTTGTTGAATAAAAATCATGTCAATCCTACGCTTCGTTAAAATGGCATTTAGAATGAATCTCCGCTAATATAGCTACTATTATTATTCATTTTTATGTAGGTGAAAAAGTGAGGGCGCTAAAAGATAATTAATTCTCAAAGTGGGCAGTAGACAAAATAAGTTTGGGAAACCCTAGCTTAGAGTTTCAATGAAATAAAGCCGTTATTTGATTTAACCTACGTTTGGACAGCGCTGCGTTCGTAGACAAATTCAAGGCTGTTTTTATAAGACAATAGCACAATTCTACTTTTACTTGCTTTTATCTCACGAGTAATTAAAAATATTATATGTTTAATTATTATAAAATTCGTGTTTGTGATACTGTGATATACAAATAATATCACAGTATGTGTATAGCCGATAAACTATTCAAGAAATTATTGTTGGAGCATTCTCATTTGGTACACTATATGTAAGCCGATGAACCAAAGATGCCATGTAGCGTAATTGAATAAAAATTTAGTTTTAGAGGTAAATTAGAACATAAACATTTTTCGGTACTTTTTTTTATTATAATATCCCTCTCCTTATATTTCCTATACTAGATGTTTGCCGCGACTCTGCCCGCATATGATGTGGCTTCCCGTAGGTAAAAGAATTTTCGTATAATTAGTATTTCCCAAGATTATCCGCAACAAACTTATAAAGCTGGGAACTTTATCTCTTTGTAATATTAACGCCTGATTTATAAATAAATAATAATAATATTTATTATTTTGCGAAAATATGGTTACAAGTTAGTTTTACAATTTTAGACCAGCATATTTTATCGTCAAGACGATATACAAATATTAAAGTCAATATACAATAAATTGTCTGGTTTTATATGAAAGAAAATGTCAAAAAATTAAATTACATAAAAAATTGCAAATGTCAAATCATAGTCATAAACAGTGGTCGGAATTAGGTAGAGTTATTCATGTACTTACACTGATTTCATACAGCGAAAGAATAAAGTGGATATGAATCCCGAGATTAATTTTAAAGAGCAGAAAAAATCCCATGATTTTTTAAATAAAAAGTTATTTACTTTTACACAATTTAAACTACTACACGCACGACGTTGCCAAACTTACATCAATGAAAGAAAGAAATAAAGAAATCCCGAGAAGATCCACATTAATATCAACATTTCGATGCAAGTACATAAATAACTCCACCTAATTCCGACCTCTGGTCATAAGATACAATTGGTTCATACGAGGGTCAAACTGAAAGTTCTTAGAAAATCAAAAACTGATTACATTAGCCAGTTATTAGTTTTATTATATCTTTTCAAAATATTGTCCATTCACGTCAATACACCGCTGCATGCGATGGAACCACTGGGAAAAGCACTTTGCCCACTCGTCCTTAGGGGTCTCTTCAATGGCATCGCGATACGCAGCCACCGCTTCTTCAGCATTCATAAACCGCTTTCCTTTAAGTTTTTCTTTAATTTTTGGAAATAAATAAAAATCACAAGGCGCGAGGTCGGGGCTATACGGCGGGTGACCCAGTAATTCAACGTTTGATGTCGCCAAATAGTCGATCGTTCGCTTGGCGGTGTGCGACGAGGCGTTGTCGTGGTGAAGGAGGATCCTACTGCGAGGTCGTTTCTCTCGAACTTTTTCCAAGACAAGTGGCAAACAATTGGTAGTGTACCATTCTGCAGAAACTGTTTTTTGATCCTCTAACACAATTGTTGCAAAATGACCTATCCTTCCAAAGAACGAGGCCACCATTTTTTTTCCCGCACTTCGATCTCTCTTCACTTTAGTTGGCAACTCCTCGAAAGGAAACACCCACTGAGCAGATTGTCTTTTGGTTTTAGGATCATAACAGTAAATCCAGCTTTCGTCACCTGTTAGTATGTCGAACACAGCATTTGAGTCACCTCCGTTAAATCTTTCAATCATTTTACGACACCAATCCACACGATGGAGTTTTTGAGCCTCAGTCAAATTATGAGGTATCCACCGGGCGCAAAGCTTCCTGACCGCTAAATGTTCGTGGAGGATTTTGTGCACTTGACTCATACCGATGCCTAAGCTTGTCCGAATCTGTTGATAGGTCACTCTTTTGTCAGTCTCTATCATACGCCGCACAACACAGATGTTATCTTCAGTCGTCGCCGTAGAAGGCCGTCCCTCACGTAAATCATCAGTGAGATTAGTGCGACCACGTTTAAACTCATTAAACCAGTTGTAAACAGTCGCACGAGATGGGGCTTCATCGTGAAAGGCCAATCGTAGTCTATCATAACTTTCTTGTTGACTTAAATGACATCGAAAGTCATAAAAAATCATTGCACGAAAATTTTCTCGTGTTAAATTCATGATGACGTGACACAGACAATTTTCAATTTGCCGCCAAATCGTAAAACAAATGACAAATGAATGAAATATATACTCAGTAATATTGGCAAAGAGTTATATTTTCAAATTTTAGAATTATTTTTTTATTTTATTGTTTATAAGTGGCCAGTTCTAAGAACTTTCAGTTTGACCCTCGTATTATAATCAAAGCATTCATACAATAATTAAGAATGAGATTTATCATGCAAGAATTTATTTATTGAATAATAATTTTTATCCATTAAATATTTAAATAAACGGGATTTGAATGTAATAACATTATCAATAAATAAAAAGCAAATGTACATTAAAACTTTTTACATCTTTTTTTTGTACTTTTACATCTTTTTTTAGCGCTTGCATGCAAACTTGTAGTAAATTAGGGGTAAGTATAGATTGTATGATATATGTGCAGGCGGAACACTTCCCGTTCCTGGGTATATCCGGCGTCGGCACGTCCGAGATGAGATGTCGGACGATGCTGTATACGGCACTCGGACGGCTACTGATGGTGGAACTGGGGGAGGACGAGGAGCGGTTCCACGCTTTCATGATGCCCGTCACCGGTGAGTGTTGCCATCGTCGTCATCTGAAGTGGCAGGGGCTCAGGCCTTTCTTCAGGTGGATTGACTGGTTAAGGAGGATTGACCCTCCGCGCTGGCCCAATGCGGATTGGAGGATATTAACGACTGCAAATGCAGCCGGGACCAACGGCTTAACGTGCCTTCCGAAGCACGGAGTAGCTCGAGATAATAATTTTTTGGTCACCCATCCCGTGACCGACCCTTGCGAAAGTTGCTTAACGACAACGATCGCGGGCCGCGACGCTTATCCACTACGCCACCGTGCTACTCACTCACCTTCACTCGTACGCTAACATATTGCTATTGCGCTCGCGCACATGCATCTAGCAAATTTTGCCACAGTAAAGTGAACCTAAAATGTGTACGATGTGAGTAGGTACAAAGGTCAACGTACGCAATTTTCTCTGTTCGGCGACTGCTATAATATTCATATTTATTGATTTTATTATAGTTAGTTAATCGTTTTTCTAATTATCAAGTATTATTTTGAAAGTTTCTCTTTTTATATATTTCAAAGTTTATTGGCTGTATAAAATGTGACGTCATATTTCAGCCGCCATGGAGAGTATAATAGGTCTACTCGGGTCCCCTGATAGTCCGATATTCACATCGGAGGACGCCAAGAAGACCCTCATAGGACTAGCTAGAGACCTCAGAGGATTGGCGTTTGCGTTCAACACAAAGACTACATATATGATGCTGTTCGATTGGATGTGAGTATTTATTTATTATTAACTAGCTTTCTGGCAGCGGCTTTGCCCATGTGGTCCTGTGTTATACATATCACATTGAATAAATAAATAAATATGTGTGTCCTCCCCTCTCTCAAAATTTGCTGTGCCCGATGGGGTCCATAATTATACTTTTGTTTTTTTTTTATAAACAATCTAATGCTACGTTGTGGGATGCAATAAATAAATAAATAAAATGAATCACTGTATACTGATGAAAACCCAATTTAAATCTGTTGTTGTGTAGTTTAAAAAGATCTCCGCGTACAGACAGCGGGTAGCGACTTTGTGTTATATTAGGTCATCTTGGACTGTAATAATAGAAGGATTTGAACGGTTCATTTAAAGTTTAGACAACATTTGGGCCCATTTTTCTTTAGATAAAATACACGTATAAGTATTATATATATTTTTTTATATAATAATTTTACAAGGCTCCATGGACTACTTGGGATTCATTGAAAGTCAATGTCATTTATACAATATTTTGCTTGAATGCGGCACAGGAATGAGAAAGTATTTAAAAAAAAAAACGAAAGCACTAAAAAAGCACCTCCACTAGATGGTGACTCTAGCAAAAGTTAATTTTTGCAGGAAACGAATGGACCACAAACGGTCATTTCCGTTCCTTTTAACTAACATATAAAAAAATTGAAATTTGAAAAGTTCGAAACTTAGATATCAATACAAATACGAAAAAGTACAATTAGAATAGGAGTTGTTTATTGAGTTTTGAAAACTAATTTACTTTTAAACATGAAAGAAAACCGGAAGGGTTGTCATGGAGAAATCAAGAACGTACCGTAGCGACATCTTGCTTGATGTCGGGAACTATTTTTTTAAAATTCTTCCTCATTAAAGAGGAAGCTTTATATGTGCAATACATGAGCACGCGAGCATAGCCGCAGGCGGAAAACTAGTTACAAATAAAAATATTATGTAAAATAAGAAAATATCCGGGCGACTGCTCTGATCATTGAACTACCCAAGATCTAATAAGACTGACGAGTTTTTCAAGCATTTGTTACTTTTTATACTACTTCCTCAGTCCTGTTAGGTCCTGGGTTCGAATCCCGTTCTAAAGTGCTAGGGACAAAGTGTATTATTTAAGCATTTTTCAGTATAGCATTGTGAATGCAAAAATTGGTCAAATATTATAATTGTTTTTATTCAATAAAAATAATTTAGGCCAATATTGATATCTGGTTTATAAGTAGCGATTTCTCAATTGCAATGACAGAAAAAATAATGGGTATATTCCAGATATCCGGTGTATATGAAAGTATTGATACGTGGCATAGAGGTTTGGTATTCGGAGCCTTCAGTCACCACTCCAGTGTTGAAGTTGACCGCTGAACTGGCACAGAACAGGAATCAGCGGTTACAGTTCGATGTCAGCTCACCGAACGGGATACTGTTGTTCAGAGAACTGTCCGCTATTATATGCGCCTATGGTGAGTGTTATTGTTTTCATTTATTACAATAGGAATTAATCTATATTCTAGTTATGTGAGACAGTTTAATATTCTATCTTTTTATGTAACTGTCCAGCCTTAGTTTCGGTTCATCATCAGTCTTTTTACCCGACTGCGCGACGCAAAGGAGGGTAATGTGTTTAGACCACCGCAAGTTACTTAATAATACCCCATGATATTAACCCCTCAGTGAAATGACTAGATTGGGAAATTTGCCATCTTATAACGAAGTCAACGAATCGTAACTAAAAAGTGTAAAATAAATAATTTTAAAAAAAATAACAAAAAATCCGACTGCGTAAAAACGAATTTTAAAAAACACATGAAAATAATAATTTACTAAAAACTAAAAAGAAAGAAACAAGCCCATTAGTTTAGAATTCTGTTAAGTAATACAGAACAGAACGACTCATAGTTTGGGAAGATTTGAATGGGCCCCGTTTTTACGCAGTCGGGTTTTTTGTTTTTCTTTAAATTATTTTTGTCTTCGTTATGGGTGGTTTAGGAACACGGGCCATGACCCACCACGCGATCCCAGTGCGGATTGGTAGGTGTAAACGACTTGCCGATGACAAATTTTTGGTCACCCATCATATGACTGGCCATTACGAAAGTTGCTTAAAAACCGTATCGCAAACCGAACGCGCTAGACACTGCCCCATCGTGCTCCTCATTGTAATAAGGTTCAATTTCCAATAGGCAGCCGAATATTGACAGTGGAGGTGAACAAGAAACAGATGTACGCTATGAAACTGAAGGGCATATCCCTCTGTTTCTCCATACTAAAGGCGGCTCTGTGCGGGAACTATGCGAACTTCGGCGTCTTTAGGTGAGTACTGAACACAAACACCTATCTGCAATCGAGTGTAATCTATGTGAATATGTCATAACCAGAGGTCGGAATTAGGTAGAGTTATTTATGTACTTGCATCGAAATGTTGATATTAATGTGGACCTACCCGGGATTTCTTTATTTCTTTCTTTCATTGATGTAAGTTTGGCAACGTCGTGCGTGCAGTAGTTTAAATTGTGTAAAAAAAATAATCTCGGGATTTGAGGCATATCCACTTTATTCTTTCGCTGTATAAAATTAGTGTACCTAATTCCGACCACTGGTCATAACTTAATAGTTGAAAATACTTTTATTAGCTGTTAACAGTCTTACTTCATTTTAATTCTCGTGTCATCATGAGCTTTTTACGACCAATAAAACATCATCACCATCACCAGCCCTTTTACGTCCCCACTGCAGGGGCTCAGGCCTTCCTTATGGATGGTTAAGGAGGATGGGTCATGACCCTCCACGCTGGGCCAATACGGATTGGAGGGTATTAACGACTGCAAATGCAGCCGGGACCAACGGCTTAACGCGCCTTCCGAAGCACGGAGTAACTCGAGATAATAATTTTATGGTTGCCCATCCCGTGACCGACCCTTGCGAAAGTTTCTTAACGACTACGATCGCTGGTCACGGCGCTTATCCACTACGCCACCGAGCTACTAAAACATGTGTAGACATTTTTTTTAAATGTTTTATTTTATAGATGTACGTGAAATGTATATAAAAAATATTTTAAATAAGCAAAATAGGGTATTTGATGTATTTCTGAAAATTATTTAAATTGGTTCTTTGATACATTATAAACACACTGACAATATATTTCATGAGAATCTGTTCTATTTTTGATGAAATCAATTGTTAATGTTTAAATAGCCGAAATCGCGCAAAAAACGCTGCTCTATGTAATGGCGCTGATCACGTGGTATTTGTGACGTCATATGCCAGTAAATATGTCAAGACGACATAATCTATATATCAACTATTTATTTACAAAGTAAACAACTATTTATTTACAAAGTAAACAAATAGTATTACAGAAGAGAAATTGAAGTTTAATTATATGTTTTGCATTTGTACCTACTCCGGTTTTGTTTATAAAAATGAGCTACAAACAACTGTTTTGACATGACTGCTTCCGGTTTATGTGTGACGTCACATGCCAGTAAACAGAACCTGTTATTGGTTGCTACGATAACCAATCACAGGGCGTTTTCTTATTTAAAACAAATAACGACTTTGACTGTAGAGGGAGAAAAGGTGACAAATTGTATATACCATCACAGAGGCTTCATGTATATTCAAGTAATTGTTACTGCATGGCAATACGTATTTTTAATAAATTACCAACTGACATAACAAAGTTACCGCTTAATAAATTTAAGAAAACAGTATTTAATTTATTATTAGATAAAATGTATTATAATGTTAATGACTTCATAAATGATAGATTTTGACATAATTTCGAATTTGACATTGCATGTACGAGGAATGATATTGTTTTTTTATTTTATCTGACATTAAGAAATATTAATTAGATTGTTAAAGGTATTAAAATATTTGTACGCTGATCAAGTCGGCAGAATGTGTGTGCTTTTTTTTGATAATTAACATCGTTTCTGTGACCACTTTCTTACAAATAAATATCATTCATGGTATCCTGCCTTCTCGCCGAAAATTGTTTAGCGGATTATCACTTGCCAACCAACGGTTCGCCTGATTTTCACTTTGACAACTAATGATTGTCAAATTTTTGTATGACAACGTTTCATTTGGTAGAATTATTGTTAAGCTCATTATTGTAATGACAGAACACGTTCCGGGCACTTATCATTTATCAAATCCTTCACTAGGCCAGACAACTTTTAGACGAATAACGTTTCGTCTGTATAACAGTACCCTTTTCGTACATTTATATTATGATATAAAATAAACTAATTTCGATATGCAATTTTTATTAAACAATTACAAAAAAATTAACACTTCAAATTAGCAGCAATGCACATTAATAATTTTTCATGTGAATATGAAGATTTGTGTTCAAGAATTCTGTTGATTCTTTCGTCTTTGTCTAAGTTTTTTTTTTTTTTTTCTTGGGTTCTGGTGGGGCACCTGTTAATATATTTTCTATTTCCCCCTCGTTGGCAACGGTTTCCTTTATTAATTGTTTTATCAATTCATAAACACCGGGGTGATTTTTATCAATAATATTGTTTATTTTGTTATGCCAGGCTTCGGCCGAGTTCTGTGTTCGTGGTATATTCATCTTGTTTGTTTCATAGCAGCTCCAAAATCTAGGCTGATATTTAGGTTGTGTGGTTGATGTTCCGTGTACATAATTGTTTTCGAACCAATGCGCTAATTGTTGCCAATCTGGATCTTTCAAACTTTTTAAGATACTTTCGAAATATACGTATATTTCAGATTCCTCAAGAAAACTGAGTGCTAACAAACACTTCACCTCCTTATTAAACTGGATGTCGCTTGCATATCTTTTGGCAAAACCCTGGTCTTGAACTTGCCTGAAATAAATAAAAACTTGTAATAAGTACATATAACAACAAAAATTTATATACCATTTGCAAAATATTCTCGGAACGTAGTTGAGGTGAAATCGAAAAAAATCGGTTAGGTTAGGTTAGAACTGCGACCAACAACGCACGAGCCGAGCGAGCGAAGCGAGCGTGCTGCGGCAGCAGCCGGCGAAGTGCCAGAACCGAATCGCTTCACTTATCGCCTATGAGTCAATTTATTTGTACCTACCTTCCTACATTGTCAGTTTACGCTTACCCACATATTACATAGTTAGTTACTAAACGAAACCTTCCTTAATATATTATTTGGTAAACAATATATAACTAAATGAATATTACTCTATCTGAAACGTTCGCTACTTGAAAGTTGGCCTTGTGAAAAGTGTCATTATAAAAGCCAGACCAAACGTACAGTTGGCAATAGTTAAGTTGGGAAATAAAACGAAACTAAGTGATATAGTTGGCAAATGATTATTCGGCGAAATACAATTCTGCGAAACGTTGATTGGCAAATGATGATCTGCCAGACGATTTTCGCCGAAAAGGCAGAGAACCATCATTCATTCATTCATTTCGTCGTTCATTTAAATTCTTTAAAAATTATGCATTTTCTTTGTGTTATTTTACTAAAGCTGAATATGTTATCTGCAGATTCTAAGTAATAATCAGATTATTATCTAACAAGGTGACCATAATATGCAACTTATTTTTAATAATGTAAAATACTCTATTCGTTTAACAAAACCTAGTCTAGTAATAGGTATTCGTTAATTCGTGTGATTGGTATATGTTATGTTTCAATTTGTCCAGGTTATATGGTGACGAAGCGTTGGACAACGCGCTGAATATGTTTGTCAAGTTGTTACTCAGCATACAGCAAAGTGACTTATTGGTGAGTTTATATTTATTATATTATTATTATTAGCTGACTCAGTCAGGTGTTGCTGTGGGTCATAGAGATAAAAACCATATAAGGTTCTTATGTTTTAACGCTTAAATAAAATGAAAATGTCTTTATTCAAGTAAGCTTGTTACTTAATTTGTTAATTGTCTTAATTTGTTTCTCCAATCACTCGTTCAGGACGTCTTTTAGTTGTCAGGAAGAACAAGCGAAAGAAACTTACCAGCTCTTTATCATAAGTAATGACATTTACATAATTCACGTCATTACCAAAATATAACGTATTATAACAATAGTAAATACAATTTTCAACTAATTATCTACTTAACCCTTTACCGCATGGATTTTCAGATTTGCCCCAAATTAATTGATATGAATCTAGGGCCTAATAGGTACTGTAGAAAATTTTATTTAAATTTTTATACAATTAGAAAGCGAAATAATTGACCCGTTTCTCAAAATCTCATATCTGACACAACATGCAGTCAAGGTAACAATTCACATGTGATACAACAAGCATTTTAGTTATATATATATATTTAAGGAGTCAGGTTTTTTTAATAAAATAAAAAATAACGAATGTATGTACAGTTATTTATTGCAAAACCATATGAAATTCTTTAAAACAATTACGGTCTCTGTTTAAACAAAAAAAAAACATTAGCATTTACTGCAGTAAACGTACGACAGGCGTGAGCAATTTTTGCATCTCTGCCGTTTGTCTTCCCAGTTGGGCTAATGGCCGATCCCGTCGTATACTACTTCTTGCGGAGGAAGTTCAATGCGTCGTTTCCTTTTCTTTATTTCTGATTGTTATAGAGCAGGACGCCCTCTTGCTCGGGTAGTTAGCTTTCTCGGCTACGCCCATGATCTTTACCCTTACGCCAAACAGGTCATCATTTATAAATATATAAGTAATATTTCTTCTACCCACATTGCACGTTGTATCATATCTGATCGAGCACTGATGCAAACTTTATTGCATGTAGTCTCATATTTGAAAACGAGAAACTGACATAACTGCATACAGTATCATTTCAGATACAAAGTTCTAATCTATTTTTCATCAAAAAGTAGTTGTTATTACTTACATGTTTTTCCGTAAAACTTCTTGGAATCCATTTTACTCACACGCCAAACACAAAAAATATTTTAGTTCTAGGAAAAAAAATAAAATAACGACTACTTTAGTTCACGAACGACGCTCAATGACATAAATAGCGCTTTCATATTTTCTATGACAAATTGAACAAACCATAGAAAACATGGCAACCTGCAAATATTTTTTTCATGTTCGGATACAATCAAGGTTCAAATATCAGCCATCAATAGACGCCTAAAGGACTCAATATTTTTTTATCTGTGAAAATTCTTAATGTATCATATATGATACCATATGCGGTAAAGGGTTAAGGCGGAACAAATGAAAGAAAGAAAGAAAATGTATTTATTCCGGTGCACAAATAAATAGACATAAAACATTTTATAATAATTACAATAAATTAAATAAAACATAATTAAAAAAAGAAAAAATGCGTCACACATTGCACCGAAATAGGCAGCCAATTCAGCTCACTGTCAGGTTGCTAAACTTGACGCTGATTTTCAATTGACACCTAATTGTCTCTTTTTGACACAAAGATGTCAAATTTTTCGACATGAAAACCTTTTACAAGTAATTAAAATTAAAAGAAGATTAAAAGAAATTAAATATTACAAATAACAAATTCATTTAAAAATAGTAAAAATTTCAATTATCATTATATATGTCTATTGTAATTTATTCATATTTTAAAAATGCAGTTATAAAAAAAGTTTTTGTTATCAAAAGAATATATCAAAACCTATTTTTTTATATAGTAATTATAGTTAATATTAGTAGTAAAATCGATAAAAAATAAGTGATAATATCCAGCGGCAAGGCTGAAGGATAATAGGGGATATGCGTCTGATTCAAAAATCTGTTAAATATATTTTATTACGATCGTTATTGCTTCAGAATAAAGTCTTGTAAATATTATTCAACATTAGTTCGTTTTCGTCTTGATAATAATTATTAAAAAGTGCAAAATAAATGCGGTAACTTCAAAATATTTAAACGCCATGATACTTGTCAGAGCGGATGTGACGAAAATGTACACGTATAGGGATGTCGTTGTTACAAGAAGTTAACATCGATGCAATAACATCAATGTTTTATGTCGCAAAATAAACAACTGATTACAATTAAAATGACGTTTTAGGCTTTTATTTTTATTTCACCAATTTTGTAAATTATATGATTTATTAAAAAAGTCTACTATACTTTAAAAAATCGATGAGTTTCTAATCGATTTGGGTTATTGAGTAATAATCAATCGCTAAAAATCCATATTGATTTAAAATGTAATATCTCTAGTCGTGTACTTTGACATCACGACGAGCGCGCCAAAAATTCCGGTGTTTAAACTGCTCATAGCTATTATTTATTTTCATCGATTATTAAATCTTACAAAATTTTAGTATTTCGATACCGGGTATTTTATTAGTTATAAATTGATGTATATAAAAACATTTTCCAAAAATGTGCATATTCCCTATTATTAATAATCTTATGATTATATACGTTATTATTATTGTTATAGGATTATCCTAAGCTATCGCAGACTTACTACGTACTGTTGGAGAGGTTGGCGCAAGATCATATGCCGTTCCTGGCGTCGTTACAGCCTGACGCCACGCTATATATACTGTCTTCGATATCGGAGGGGCTCACGGCACTCGGTAAGTAATGGCCAAGTGGATTAGCGAACTCGGTCGTCCTAGGCACAGAATATGACAGAAGGCAATAGCATTCACTTTTTATATCTGCGCTCGACGGTTTAGTTAGGATTTTTAACTCTAAATTATGCTCGAAAAACTTACACAAACACTAATATGATACAAAACGTTTACAGAACGAAAACATTAAACTATATAATTAATAATTTACACTATAAAAAATTCCAAATTACTTCCAAACACTTTTGTTCTATCCGTTTAAAAAAATATATATACGCAATCAGAAAATCATGTTTTCAATTTATGAAATATTTGGTGTCGTTTATTTATGTTATGAAATATTTAGTAATACATAAACAAATTAAAATTCGCTGGTTTCATGTAATCCCAGACGTTGGTAGACATTTCTTATCCATATAAACAAGATGCTCATAGGGGAATATTAGTAAATACCTACTCAATAACAACTCTAAGTAACGACTGGTGGCTTAAAACGTCAATTCGTCATTTTAATATTAAATTTAAGCGACCTCCTATGAAATAGTTATAACAGAAGCACTCGCGCTTGCACTGATCCGAAATGGTCCGAGACAGTGTCCCGCAACTAAAAGCGAGGAGAGTAGCGAAAATTAATGTATTATGAGTAAAAATCGCCAAAATTATAGTACACCAGTACAATTAGTCCAAATTTCGCAAGTAATTTTAAACTTTACAGCTAACGCAATAAGGCTTTAAATGATATAGGGTATGTTCCGATATACACTGCGACCACTGAACAGTATGACGTCAATTTAGTATACTGGAAGCCTGTTCCTTTATAGCTAGTTATACTGGTGACTTTTTAAAACGGAACGCAGTCCAGTATACTGTTAATCCTATTTTTTGGCGCCATTTTCAAATTTGTTAATGCAAGGTGAATATAAATATAAAGATTCCCTCTTTTCAAAAGAAAATATTATAAAATTGGAAAATTGTATAAAAAAAATATTCATCAATTAAATCCATCTTATAAATAAACGTAAGTATTTTTTTTTTGTTTATTTAGAAACTTATCATTTTCTGATTCTGTTTCGACTGATCACGTGATCAAAAGCACTGCGAGCACCTTACCTCGAAATCTCCAGTGCTCATAGTACAAATATGGCGGCAATTTATGACGTCATGAATTTCCCTAGGGTACTGTAGCAGTGTACTGGCAGTCCATAACGGAACGGATTTTTCAGCAGTAAGACCACTGCGCAGTGCTCGCAGTGTATATCGGAACATACCCATAATTTGACTGATTTGTATAACATGACGTGATCGAATAATAGTGTATGATTTAGTACTTTATACTTACTACATACTTTTGATTTGAACTAAGTAGGTACTTTTTTATTATTAATAAATTATTTATATCTCATAAATTGATTTAAGAAGTATTAAAAACAATTCGAAACTAGCCCAAAATAGTCGATAGCACTTCATACTGAGCTGCAAGAGATTTCAATAAGCTGTCATTTTCTCATATTGTACTTGTTAGTTCTGTCATATAAGTAAACATTTTTAAAATACATAAATATATCTGGAAAACGATAATACTATAAAGTTTCTCTTACTCGAGTTTACGGACTGGATAAATTAGATCGCGCTCGGAACAAACGGAAATAATAAATCATATTACTTATTAAGGTAGATTTAAAGGATTTTTTTTTTAAAGTTTGCTACGTTACGAAAATGTCGTGCAATCTGTGTACGATAATTGTAGGTTCTCGTACACCGTCCATTTACAATAATACGGGTGTAGACAGTAAACGAAAATAAATACATAGGTATTATTTGTTGTAGTGTTCAATAATCCATAATCACACATTTATGCTTATTATATTTATAATATTGCTTAAATTAATTATAAAAAACGCTTTATTATTGCTTTCTTTTTCTTATTCAACTCTTTTCTAGCTTATCTTTCGATTTCCCTAAGGGCCGTCCATTAATCACGTGAGGCTCGAAAGGGGGGGGGGATTCATAAACAAAACGCAAAGGGAGTGGGGGGTGTAGTAATATATCACGTGTATTTATTAGTTACGTGTATTTAGCGACGTCAAAAATTAAGATTTTTTTTTTTAATACATTTGATTTGGTTGAAGGAGGGAGGGGGTAGTCTTAAACCTCACCATGTATCACCAAGTGGGGGGGGGGATGTTGATAAAACATCACGTGATTAATGGACGGCCCCTATGAGTGCACCACTAAAGGAATATCTGGTGTACTTTCGTGGGTCTGCGAACTACGAACTTTGCTGGTCGTATAAACGCCATGACGGCATAAAAGAAGAAAATTACCTCCGTCAAGAGTCAAAGTCAAAATAATCTTTATTCAAATAGACTTCTCAAAAATACTTTTGAATCGTCTACTACCGCTCGTTCAGAACTTCTTTTGGCTGATAAGAAGAACGAGCAAGAAACTCACCAGCTCTTAGGAGTAATGCCATTCACATAAAACATGTCATTACCACAAAAATAAAATAAATAAATAAATTATAAATAGAGAGAAAAAAAAAAACTATGGTCTTATAATGATAACATAATAATTCAATAATAATGGAAATAAGATAATTTTTGATATATAATGAGTAATCACCTATCCAGTTGCTGGACCATCTCAAGTCCAAGCATTCTTATCTGTTATATAATCGGATACCTTGTTATAAGCTTTTTTAATGAGTGTTTTTTAATAGTAGATTTAAACTGCATGATATCTTGTATTTTGCATGGGACCTTATTGTAGAAGCGCACACAAAGACCCTTGAATGAGTTAACTTTTTGCAGTCTAGTGACATGCACCGTTAATTTAATTTTATTTCTTCTATTAAAATTGTGTGCAAACAAACTAATATTTTTACAAACCTCTACTACTTTTAACTGTCATTATTTTTTTTTGTCTCTCGCTATAACGCATGCAAAACATTTACCACCATTACCCGCATTAATAATATAAAAAATTTCCCCGCACAATAAGTATCCCCAAAGACTGAACACCTGAGTTATTGTGGACGAAGCGGCACCGGCTGTTCGTGTCCAGATGGCGTACATCAGTACGGTAAGTACTCTCGATTTTATATCAGAGTTCCATCGGGTGTGCTCTAAGGATATGCTTTTTTGTGTTCTTTTTATATAGCTCTAAAGACGATCCTTTTTTCGTTTATTTTTTTTCATCAACATTCATTAATAACCGCATACGCTTTTGGATAAAAGTAAAATTTTTACACCCGTTGTCACGTGACCCCAAACAGCGCGTGACGTCACGCCCCCCTTACTCACATCAGAGATTAGAGAATTGAAACTTACACATACATAGAATGATGTTACTCGTAGTTTCAGAGGGCCGTGACGCCATGAGGAGTCGTAGTTTTCGCGGGAAATAAAATATAAATTTATTTTTAGATTTCAAACTTATTGAACTTTAAAATATTGAATTTTATATAGATGAAATTAAAATATTAAAAAAGAATGTCTACACCCCTATTATCGTACGGTTGGGAAGACTGGTCCGATAGATAGATTGTATTCTGTACTATATTCTGTGCCTCAGTTCATATAGTACAAGCCATCCTTTTATATCACTCCTAACTTAATTGCACATGAGTTTACTTATCGACAACGTTTTTTGAAATAGATTCGGATATTTTTGTATACAACACCCGGTTTCTGAATTGAGATTTTAAAGTTGAGAATCAGTGATTTCCTACGTGGTCCAAGTGGACCCCCAGGGGTCCACGAGGGATTCAACGGGATCCACGTTGGCGTGAAATAAAAATAGGGGTTAGGACAAATTTTGGGAATATGGTAAAAATGTAGCAGCAACCAGTAAATGTTTTTAAATGGTCTACGAGATAAAATTGTTTGGGAGCCTCTGTCTCGAATTGTTCTTAAACGTCACTAGAACAGGTTTTCGTGGCTTATTCCGTTTTATCCACCCTGAAACAGCTACCCTAAGGTGGATAGGTGGTGTACATCTATCCACCGTGAACGGGGTCACTTTTGAATGTTCTTTCGATTTTTTTACCCCAATTACAGTGGAATAAAATCGTCTACTACACAAAAACTTCCATCGTGTATTTATAAAAAATCACATTTTCATTAAACAAAATAAATCATTTAATGTTATAGTCTATTCAACTTCTTCTGAGACAAAATGTAAACAAACAAACTAATATTTCTCTAACTTTTTTATTGATGTTGGTATGTAAATAAAATTTGTTAATGTGACAAATTATTGTATGGTAGGTATGCAATACAATAAGTCTATTTCTTTTACAAATAGCAATTGTAAGAGTCACATAATATTCAGAATCTTCCTCGTCTTCCTCTGAGGAACTAGTCGCACCAACTTCTATCACAAAACGGTCAACCAAATCATCTATGATACCATTAATTTTTAAAAAATGTTGTTCTTCTTTTATGACATGGTCAATGCATTTTAGCACAGTTCCTACTGTTACCCTTTTTAGAGCATCGGTTAAAAAAGATTTTATTTCATTTAACTTAAAACTTAGCAATAACAGAAAACAACAAACTTAACAACTGGAATAAACAAATAACAAGAATTTAACGAAAGCATTTTGCACGAGTCAACGAATTGATCGAGAGTAAAAATGGCCGGTATAACCCGACTAATTACAAAATTTCACGTTTCTACGTAAAGTATTTGTCTTATCACTACTCCTCAATTTAGTAGTATTATAATACGTCCAATGTTTGGGAACAGCTTCAATTTTAGGTATTTATAATGTCACTTTCTTTTTTTATTAATTCTAAATGCATTTATATTTTGACATATTAAAGAAACTTTTTCCAGTTTGTTTACATTTTGTCTCAGAGGAAGATAAATAGACTATAGGTACCGAGTATCTTGGGTTAGGTTTATGCGTTTTTTTAACTGACTGTACACAGGCGGGAGAGAAAATCTGAAGTGAAATTATGGTTCGGATTCCTGTTATCCACCCCGTTCAGGGTGGATAGATGAACATGCGTTTCCGAGTATCCACCTTAGGGTAGCTGTTTCAGGGTGGATAAACGGAATAAGTCGTTTTCGCTTCTGATTTTAGTTTTAGTTTTTGTACATTTCTCTATTCAGAAACCGGCTTTATATGTCGTGACAAAATAATATTCTGATTTCTCATTAAATGAGTGTAGAACAGGCATGTCTAATCTGCTCATAAAATGTTATATCATAAAACTACATTGGAATATTTAATAGTTTAAATAAACAAGTGACTACAATTTAATAGTTATACCAGTTTTCATTTTCTAGATCAATTAGCCAAATGAGCCATCAAGATGTCGTTACATTTTGTGTTTTCAGACACCAGCGTGTGTACAGGATGTTGTGCAACATTGGATCACATAGTAACATATCTATTTAAGCAATTAGTACAGAAATGTAAGTATTATTCAATTTATTACTAGTATATGTAACGTTAGCGAGAGATATCGATGATTTTTTTTTAATAGTAACATTAATACTGGATTACTGCGTAGAAAAGTGATTGGCATAAATCAATTTTTTCAGTAAACTAACATCGTATACAAAATTTCTAAGATATTCATAAATAAACAAATAAGAATACTCCAATGTATATATCGGCCAACATGAAACATTTCCACTTTATAATACTATTTGTATGTTCATATACGTGTTGTAGCTAGCAACAAGGCATCGAATCCGCGCCAACCGCCGCCAACGACGAGCAACATGTTCATAGAAGTGTTACAGAGACGACCGGAAATTATGCAACAACTATTAGCTACCGTAAGTGATTTCAATCATATAAAGATAAAGGAAATCTCTCCAATCCGCATCCGGCCAGCGTGAAGGGTCATTTCCCATCCTCTTTAACCATCCATAAGGAAGGCCTGATTTTAATTTAAATTTATTTTATTTTAATTTAAATAAGCCATAAAACAATGTTTCGATGAAATAAGCATCTTTTCTTGCTTTAAAATCAAATGACGTCATCTTGTTATGTACACAAAAGAGATGCATAGAGTAGAAGATTCAAAGATGTCAATAAAACAAGAACAATGCCATCTATGAATAAAAACATATAAAAAGCTAAGAGCAGCGCCATCTAGGAATTTCATTTATAAATAATAGGCATATCTTTATCACTAATATGACAGCTGTCGCCACAGTGACGTCACACAACAGCGAGTCGTGTTTCAAGTCACGTGACACGCAGAAAAAAAAATCACGATTTCTTAAAATAATCATGCGATTTTAAGACTCTTAATCGGAATCTTTATCTTTATTACGATGTAAATTATACTTTTTTTTTCTTCACTACTGTAACTACCAATAGGGTAGTTTAAATATAATCATATGAGTCTACAGTTTATTAAAAAAAAAAAAATTGTAGCACCGCCTTATTAATGTATCTATTCTATAACTTTCCGGTTGCCTGGTAGAGAATACCTACTGGCATCAAGTCCGCTATTTTTACGTTTTATTTGTGCAAAGAAGTTTAATAAATAAGATTATAAATATAATTATAAATAAAATTATGGCTCAAACGTAATAAGGAGCCGCCCATTAATCACGTGAGGCTCAAAAAGGGGGGGAGGGATTCGTCAAAAATCACTGTAGTAATATATCACGTGTATTTATTTTTCCCTCGACGCGCGCTTATTAAACCGAAAAGCGACGTAAAAAATTAAAGATTTTTTTTAAATACACGTGCTTTGGTTTAAAGATGGAGTGGGTTTTCTTAAACCTCACCATGTCATCACCAAGGGGGAGGAGGGGTCAAAAATGTTGAAAAAAACTTCACGTGACTAATGGACGGCCCCTAATTAAAAAAAAATATATATATCGCGAAGGTGTTGAACGTGATAATGTTCGAGGACTGTTGCAACCAATGGTCGATGTCGCGACCACTCCTCGGGCTGATCCTCCTGAACGAGGAGCAGTTCTCCCGCATCAGGGCGGAGATGATCGCGCAGCAGCCGCGCGACAAGCAGCCGCAGCTCGCGCAGTGGTTCACCGGACTGATGGCCGGCATCGAGCCTAACCTCCTCACCAAGAACAGGGACAGGTATACACTATACACGTATCAGTCGTCCAACAGACATCTATTTCTGATTAATAATTCTGCATAAGTCCCGCAGGTTTTCTGACATCTATACATGTATCAGTCGTCCAACAGACGTCTGCTTCTGATTCCGCAATTGCACAAGTCCCACATGTTTTCTGAAATCTGGTTCCGCAACAGTTTGTTTGCTTGTTTGTCGCGCGCGATTTTTGTTTTGAGTTGTCGCTACGTGTATATTTATTTTAATAAAATATTACTATCCTTCTTATTAAAATATTCCCTTCCATCTTATTCAAATATTCCCATCCTTCTTATTAAAAATTCCCATCTTTCTTAAAGTTGATATGTACAGTTTAAATACTTTGCATAAGCTGTTGCGTGGCAATTATTTATTCCATTCTTGATTTTGGTTGATTACTTCTACACTAGAAGTGTAAGTTCCACGTGTCACTGCTAATTTAAACACTTTACGCAACGATTTAATCTGGCCGACTTTGCCTGGCGAAATTTAATCTGGCCGTTCAATGAGAGTTATATAATTTTTCTTTGCATAACGCCTGTGATGTAAGCCCATGTAAAAGTAAATGGTTTCTAATGGTTTGGAGAGTCACGTCAAATATGTCGGCAAAATAACGCGTTGGTTTAAAGTCAGATTCCTCATAACTCCGTCTTATGAAGACTCGCTGAGTATCTGATATTTCAGGTTTACGATCGCTAAAACTGCGAGCGTTCGTATTCCCCTCCTCGCTTCCTCGTCTTATCCAAAGACGGACAGCTTGTCTCTATAATTTAAAATGTGAAAAAAAAAAACATTTTTTACACTAAGACTTGGTCGGAGATTTTACATTAAACTCCCGACAGACATAATAATACTTACCGACACATTTAATTCTCTAGAAATCTCACTTATATTTAAACCATCATTATTTAGTGCGATTATTTGAGCTCTCCCGTTAATGGATAAATTTCGGGGCATGAATTAGGAAAATACCTACGGAAAATGCCAAGAAAATATTTGACATGAATTGTCAAGTGATATTTTCTTTTTCAATTTTACAATATTTGACGCCATTTTCGCGAAACAAATTCCGCAATTTCAAGGTGTTTACGCGCACGAACTCACGCAAAGACGCGCGTGCGCAGACTGATTAATAATGATAATATATTATGTGTCATATTATCAGACCACGTACCATTTAATTTCAAAATTGTCCTAATAACAAAAAAGGGAACGGTTTAGGGCATCAACAGCAAAACAATGTATAATAAATAAAATACAGTGGCATCTCGATAACTCGAATGTCAAGGGAAATGGCAAAAATTTCGAGTTAATGAGTTTTCGACTTAGCAAGAATTTCGAGATAAATGATTTAACTAAAATTTCGACATAGAAAGGCGCTTAGAAATAATATTTCTCTTAAATTTTATGGCACAAAATTTATTTAAAGCAATTGCATACAAATGTATTAGTCTAGATTTTTTGCAACAATCGCCCATCGCTACCTCCAACATTCCTTTTGGATTTTATTGCTTTGAGTTTAGGGAATTCCAAGTTCTTGGTCATTATATTTTACTAATTTTGACTTACGGAGTCTGTTTTTTGAATTTCGAGTTATAAAGTATAAATATGTACTATAGATACTTCATAGGTAAATAACATTTTGTTCGAGTTATAAAGTATAAATAATTCGAGATATTGCGGATTTGGGGGTTCTGCGGAAGGGAATACAAATTATTTTCGACTTAACTCGAACCTCGTAGAGGTACCACTGTATTTATAGCTTCACGCTAGCGTTTTCGCCCGCGTGCTCCTGTATTATACAAATAAACCTTCCCTTTGTGTGTGTACATTGAAAATGTTCGTATTGAAACCTTATCAGTGCTATTAATAAACAAGATTTGGCGTCAGAATGAATTTACGCTAAAATTGCAATTTTAGTATCAGTCCAAATTCATATTATACAGAGAATATGCAAACCTACTACCTTCTAAGAGTATTACGCCCGTAGAACCTCGTACTAGGTTAGCTTTGCTAATTCTATGTTTAATAATATGAATTTAATTAATAATATTAAGTGCATCCCAGCGTAAACTCCAATTCTAAACCTTGTTTATTAATATGTAGGCGGGTAGTCTCAAGGGGCCATTACGAAGCCCAAATAGATCGTCCATATCGGAGGCCTATCTTTAAAATAACACTGCAGGCGTGTACACCAACGTGGATTTGTTCCATTTTATCACTTTTCATACGAAAATATAACGAGATGAGCGTGATGTCGTCGGATGTCTTTACTTTTCTGCGTTCGGCAACAGAATGTCTGTCAAAATGGCGGCAACTTGCTTTTGTTAACGAACTGTCAAAGTCAGTGTTACCATTCTAATAAAATTAAAAGTATCGATGATCACGCCCTCCGTTGATCACGTCCGACCTCTATCGCCTCTAATCAAACAATCACGACACAATGGCCGACCGTCTGACGTTTCACCAGAGAGAATAATAATTCACTTTCGTTTAGGAATCGATATCGAATAATCGTGGTACAATCGATGCGCCGACAAATAACATTGCACGAGTTTAAGAATATAATCTGTGCATATTCAAACAGTTGTTTCTTTTATAGGTTCACGCAAAACTTGTCTATATTCAGAAGAGATATAAACGATCTACTGAAGGGCACGACCGTCAACACCGCCTCAGTCAACGACATGATGACGTCGTAATGCGACCACAAACACCCACACGCAAGTATGACAATGCTGTTTGTGTAGAACAGACCTACAGATTCAATGATGAACGATCAGATTAAAAATAATAATGAGTCTTATTTTAATAACTTTAGGTATAAAATACAACTCATTTGATGTACGTTGCTCAGTGGCGTAGTGGATTAGCGCCGCGGTCTGTGATCGTAGTCGTTAAGCAACTTTCGCAAGGGTCGGTCACGGGATGGGTGACCAAAAAATTATTATCTCGAGTTACTCCGTGCTTCGGAAAGCACGTTAAGCCGTTGGTCCCAGCTGCATTTGCAGTCGTTAATACCCTCCAATCCGCATTGGGCCAGCGTGGAGGGTCATGGCACATCCTCCTTAATCATCCATAAGGAAGACCTGAGCCCCTGCAGTGGGAACGTAAAAGGGCTGATGATGATGATGAGATGTACGTTAGCTTGGGCCTGAATTGAATATTTTTAATATTTTCTTTGTATAGTATCAATATATATATATATTGCTTTTTTAATTGCAGATGGACACAAATATAAATTAAGCCAAATCTAATTCACAACAAAAACGTCGGTGGTTACTTTTTGACTCACGTTAAATAATTTTCTTATTAAGTTTCTTTAGAAGAAACGAAACTTCATGTCAACTTACAGTATATAAAAATTCGATTTTTATTTAAAAAGGATGAGCGTGTTGCCATCTCTTGTCTTGTGCAGATCTGGGGTTCTATTCTGGAATCGTTCGTTTCCCGACGATCGTTCGCTTCGAAAGCGAGTAACTTTCAATTTGTCTTCACGCTAGATACGACTGAGCTAAGCGAGTGCGTTTCCTTGATATTCATATCTTTTCATTCTTCAGACATTACCATACACAATACACGCGATTAGTCTAATCGTAACTCTTGATTTGGATTAAGCATAAATATTACGTAGTTTTGATTGAATTTATGTCGAACGAAAATTAGTAATAGACGAGCGTTCGCCACGAGACGAATGCTTCAATAATAGGGCCCCCGATGTTAAAATCTCTAAGAAGAACAGGAATTTAGTAAAATTAATAAGAAAACACTATTATTATATAAATTGGTAATTTTTTAGGGAATTATTAATGTTAATTTTTGTTCGAATGAATTGTAAGCAAAGAAACGATAATACGTTTTAGTGGTTCGCTATTATGAGACTAATATGTGATTGTGTTGTGATCGTATGAGCTGCGAGCGAGCGGAGTGTACGATTTATTTTCCTAAATGTCAAATGTGACATTCCACGCGTGATATCCATACATTAATGTATGATTGTTGATTCGTATGGACGGTGTGTTGGCACATCTACCTTGTGCAATGATTTTGTGCTGATTTTGGGTTGCCAACGTTTTCTTTTTGTTGAAAAAGATAAATGGCGAATTTTGCACGCCTTGAAAATAATGAAATTGTGTAATTGGATTGTACAAAATATTATCAGGTATCTATCTAGTATTGGCAGTAGCTAAGCAAATTTTATTAGTATAATAACGTATTATGTTAATATACAATTAACCTTATAGTACGCATGCCTGAAATACGGTACTGTCCAAACTTGCAAATTTCTTTTATCTGAGAGTCACGATCTTTCCATACATGTCTCGTCCAATTCCATTAGTATTTTCATACATGCTCGCCGATTTCTATGAGTTATGACGTCACATTACTTTTTAACGTTTCCCGGTTTCTAAATCTATACATTGAAAATTTCTTAACTGATTTTAAATCCAAACACTTTCATAATTAAGCTCAAGATCGTTTGTAGTCTAGATGTTTTATAAACCAAATATGTTGAATCATTTTCAATATTATTAAATATATTTTGTTGGCAACCCAACAAAGCTTAACAGTTATGCACTGAGATGTAGAGGAAAGTTTATTGTTTATTAATGTTAATATTTTCACAAGTAGACAGATCTTTTTGAGCTTAAGTATACATTTAAAAGATATACTTAGAGTACAAAGCTCACGGATCTTCAAAAAACTAATTTTGTGCTGTTAATAATTTTTGTTTTGGTGCTGTGGTGCTGTCTCTGGCCCCCTTGATGCTTTAATTGCTTTTTTAATTACGATCTAATTAAAGCACTACTTGTGGGTAGATGTTATCGACAAATATATCGACCTACCTTCATTCGAGTTCTATTGCGTTCTATTCAAAACTGAACTCTACATTTGAGTGCGTAAAGCATTTTATTAGTTGTATAATCAATTTTTAACGTTAAAATGTGCGAATTATATTTTTTTTAAGGAATGAACGAACGGTACAGTTGACGTTTATCTCACACACACATTATTATATAAATACAGTCGCGTACACAATGTGTTTGTAAATTTACGGCGGCGGCATAATAATATTTTAACGGTTGTGCTGTTGCGGCATGTTGGATTATTGCGTTTCTAAGAATATGTTATTATTTACAGTCCACATTAAGTATATGAGATAACATGAATATGACAAATTTCTTTTTAATGAATTTTAAACCTTAATGTGTCTACTATAAAGTTAAAACTGAGTGATGAAATAATTTAAATAGATTTGCTCGCTCAATCATATAAAGAAATGACTTGTATAATGCAGAATTGGAGATTAAATCATGGATCCTATACAAGTCGAGAGTTAATTAAAAATTTGCAATATCTGAGTTGTTTTTTTTATTTAGCGTGCACTTTATTGTCTGTATATTCAAACAATAGAAAAATCACGAGCGACGTCCATAAGACAGTTGAGATTGTTGTGAAATCCCATCAGCTCTTATATAATACACTATTGTAAAAAAATAATTGTTGAATTTTAAAAGTAATTTATTATTTTTAAATATGATGCATATAATTCCTTTTTGAAGTTTGTTTTTCCTTTTTGAATTTTATTAATTGAAATAGCTTATTCTGGTATTTTTTTTTTAATATAACGGCAATGCATAATGTAGGTTAGTGATAATATGTCTGCACGTCGCATCCCTTGTTGGATTAAGTATTATTAATAAAAAAACATAATTATTACCCAATGAAGGTATATTCTATGTTTGTTTATATGATTTGTTTGCTAGCAGATATTTAAATTATGATCCTTTGCTTTCACTGTCTGTTTTTCGCCTGACACAGGAGCAGACACATAAATATATATTTTTAAATGAAGTAGGATAATTGACAGCCTTATAGCTTGATAAGTTTTGTAGAAAAAAAAAAACTTTTGGTTGTAATGAAAACTCAAATTTACATTTTTTTTAAATTTCATGGATCTTAATCTCTCAGCGAATGTAGTAATTCGATATGCCAGCTGTGCCGTTGCGGATATTATATATATAATTGTCGCCGTATTCGTATTGTTTTCTAGTGTTAGATTAGATGTATTTATGTGCGGCGTATGCCGACTTGTAAATAGATAAATAAATTGTGATTTGTACAAAGTGTTTGTGTTGTTTCATTTGTTTTTCAATTGAAATAAAAGGGAGTATTTGGATATACACTCATGGGCACAATTAACCGCCCACCTGTATCATTCATCACCCTGTTTGGTTCCGTCGAATATGTTTCTTTTTTGTTTTAGCTATGAATAAAACACTTATACCATTATTTTCTTCGCTAAATTTGTGTCACTTGTTAATGACCCATTATTTTCCAAACTAATATTAAATTGAAAATTTTCAAAAAATCTGTTTTTTTAGCAAGCAATTATTTTTAATAAAAGACTTTGTTATCAAATATTTTTGTTGTTTCTTTTTCTTTAAGTGTAGTTTTTAACTTTTTTTTTTTTATAGAATATGGTCTAAGTTTGGCAGTCTCTGCGAATTGAAAGAAATAGTAGGTAGCCGGTTAATTGTGCCCGTAAGTGTAGTTCTGACGCCACAAGTGTTGCGGATTGAAAATTGTAGCTGTGAATAATTAAAAGGTTACATTACGGTTCGATGAAGGCAATCGTTCGATAGTAGAATTGTTAATGGGGCTACTAAGGGGGTCTCACCAAATGGCGCGATAGACGCGAGATGTCTTGTCAAAGTTTGTTTACTACGAGATTGAACTTAGTAAATAAAAATAAATATAAGATAACGTCACATGCATTGCTCAGATTCCAAGATGAGTAGCTAATGTGCCCGTGTTATGGAGTATCTGAGACAACGATGGTAACACAACACCCAGACCCGAGACAATATAGAAAAGTCAATTTTCTACACCGACCCGATCGGGAATCGAACCCCAGAGATGGAAAATTCTGTAAATTGATTGTATAATAAGCGTAGTAAGTTGAAATTTGGAATGAAGGTTTCTTAGGGAGTGTGATTTTTGAAAATTCCACCCCGGAGGGGCTAAACTAGGTGTGAAAGTTTGTATGAAGCTTCGTTACTACAAATGCTAGGTAAATTTTGCATGCGGATTCTTTTTAGGACGCAGGTGCTCACTGAGACGGGATTTTATGAAATTCGATCCCAAAGTAGGTAATTTAGGGGATGAAAGTTTTTATGGATTTTTTTCATTTCTGAACTTAAAACTAGACCACGCGAGCGAAGTCGCATGCAAAAGCTTAAGTAATAGCTTGACAACCCTACAGTTACACTACACAATTTGTCGGGTACTCGACTGATTAGATAGTGTTGTACGCGTTAACCCGTGACGACCTTCGCAGCTCGCGTCGCGTCGTTGTATGTGCGTAGTGCGCGCTTCTCTGGCAAATTTTACTCACATTCGAGAAGTTAAACAAAATTTTGTAAAAAATAAATAAATATATTACATGAATTTTATAGGTGACCATGTCAATTCTTTGCGGAATTTAAACAAATTCACTTTTTAAACAATTTAGTAAGAAGCTATAGGTACTCGTGGGTAGAAACAAATAAACAAAGCTAGAAACGTTGTCTCTCTATATTATTAGTATAGATGAAGATGTAAAAAACTATGTACAAAACATTTTCATAAAAACCTGCATTCAGGTGTTTAGATTGGGCCATATTTACATTCACATAACTCTGAATAAACTTCATTACAATTTTCAGAATTTAGCCTATATAATTATTTAATTCCCTTCTAAATAAAGGGGAAAAAGAGACCATCGTGGCTCTTCAATCCACACGGACAATGATTTAACCTACGAAAACAGACCTAAATTAGAAAGAGACAACTTCTAGTTAGAGACGAATATATTGTAAAAGACAGCTTCCGGTGGGACATCATACTCCGTCTATGGAACTTCCGCCAACAATTCAAAATATTAAAATAAGGCTCCATAAATTTATTTTCGTGATTAATATTTAATTAAAATCTGCTCCAATCCACATTGAGCCAGCGTGGAGGGTCATGACCCATCCTCCTTAACCATCCATAAGGAAAGAATGAGCCCCTGCAGTGGGAACGTAAAGGGCTGGTGATGATGATGATTTAATTAAAAATTAAAATGTTACAGATTGTCAATGCTTTAAGTACTAACGGGGGTTTTTTTCTAATGAATGAAAAAGGGAGTGTCACAGTGAAATTGCGCATTCTTCTATTCATTTTGTTACGGGATAATTCTACCCGAATAAATACCTGTGTAAAACTCAAGAATCGTGTGATTATTTCGCCAGTCTGACCCACATATATTTACAATATCCATCATCGATCAATCTAAGATACAATGTTTTAAATTACTCGATATCGATCGACAGTTTCTCCATACCAATCGATCGAACCAGGCACCGACCAATTTTTCATGGCATGTAGTTCGTTTATCAGCTAAAGCTAACAACACCGATCGATGCCGTACCATCGATTGGTGTAGTCAATATCTAACATCCAAACGTTGATAAATGAAAGGCGTGTTATGTGAATAAATTATTTTAATTTCGCGACACTGTTACTCGTTTATAGTTTGTTAAACGCTCTTAGCGAGGTCTTGAGCTTTGGCCACTACGTCTTCAATAGTGCCTACCATGTAGAACGCGGCCTCCGGTATGTGATCCAACTCACCACCCAGGATCTGACCGCAAAGTACATATGACTAATATTATTATCATAATTAAATATAATATTTACTCTAAGATGGGACTCGCACCCACGACCTTTTGCAATCAGGGCGACTGTTCTAACCACAGAGCTACCAAGGACCTAACAGCACTGACGAATCTTTCAAGCACCTGTTACTTTTTCGCTACTACAGAGCGTATTTTCATCAATGTTCAGGCAATCCACGCAAACAGCCGAAAGTACTTTCGTTTAAGATAAAAATTTTGTTATAATATATATTGTTATTATTCTAGAGTTCTTATTTCATTTGAGTTCTTGTTTATTTGTTAAAAATACTTGCCATTTTTCTAAAACACTCTCTTATGTTTTTCTCTGATAAATAATACTTGTAAAAAAAGAAGACGCGTAACCATAGCAATGGAGCGTAGTCTATTTTAATTATTATAGTTCTATAGAATAACTGTAATAAGGCAGCTACAGTTTGTGTTATAGCTTATTATTTGTGCGGACTGTAGCAATGATTTTGGATGAAAGCATTGAATTAAGATTTTGGAAAGATTGGATTGATAAAACACTCATTTATTCTGTCTAGCCTGTTACAAGCAACTGTGAATGTCGAAAATTACGCCATCGGTTCGAAAATCTACGGCGGAAGACCTTGTACCGAGAAGAACTGGCAAGAAACATAGCAGAGGCTGCTTTTTTCTCCCAGTTTTATTTCATGCAGAGCAATCTTATTAGAAAGTGACACAAGCTTTTCGTTTCTAGTCATTTCAAATAATCAAAAATCCGCCAGCGACGTCCACATTCAGATCTGTGAGCACATTATAAATTAGTATCATTATACACTTACCCTTTTGAAACCTTTGATAGTTTCCTCCAACTTGACAAGTTTGCCGATGTGACCAGTGAATACTTCTGCTACCTATAAAGTTAATATTCTTTTTTATGATTTATATATCCTAGAGGTATACTACAAAATGTTCCTTACATTATGGGGTGGGGGAAAAGTTTCTTCGCATTTTATACGAAAGTTCAAAACATTTTTAATAAAGTTTATTAACATTAAGCCAAGGTATATAAATATCATTTTTTTTTAATATCATCATGTTTAAATATCATGTTTAAAGAGTTACACAAGGATTTCATTGAAGTAGCTACTGCTGATCCCACCATTAGAGTACTGCATTTTCAAGGTTCAAATAATAAGAGCAAACATAACCTGTTTGCTATGCCTTGCCGCCCCTTAGGCAGTTGTCTGGTTTGCCTCTATGGATGGGCCGGCCCTGAATACTACCTGCTATAAAAATCAATTCAGAGGACACTGGGCTAACCTCTATCCTCGTGGATTCAACGTTATGTACAGACGATTCATTAAATCTTTCATTCACTGTTTTTAAACTGAATTAGTGGGTTTTTACTTATAGCAGGAGAAGTAATTTAAATTAATTACTTGAAGTAATTAAGAGATAAAAATACCTAAATAAATATTAATTCCAGTAGCTCCATCGCATAGCTGAAGCTCAATGTCTTTCTAATTCTAGACCATTCATGATTTGTCTGTTCAATACTAGACCAATCATGATTAGTTTGTGCAATCCTAGACCATTTAGGATTTTTCTGTCCAGGCCTAGACAAATCATATTAGTCTGTGCGGCTCTAGACTATTCATAATTTGTCTGTCCAATCCTAGACCAATCATGATTAGTTTGTTGACAGTTGACCTGTCTTAACATCCTGAAACCTCAAAAAAGGCTTCAGTTAGGCAAAAGGGCTTCGGTTTTCTCAGTCTTTCGAGTTCGTCAATCTACTCGTACAGAGCTACTTCTACGGCGCAGTACTTATACCTGGAAGGGCTGCGATAGAAATCTTTGTATCTTGCGCGCGCGTGCCACAGTCAGCTTGTCGTCTTCGGAGAGCTCGTCCATGCCCAAGATGGCGATTATGTCTTGCAATGATTTATAATCCTATATGGAGAAATGGAAATTAATAGAAAGCTAGCGAGTGGAAACCCTCGTAAATAAAACTAAATAGTCGAAATAGGTTTAATTTAGGCTAGGATTACTGTTTTTTTTGTGATTTCAAAGTGTAAATTTACGAGTATCATCTTATTAACATGTTATCATCTTAGAAGTCTATAATTACATCCGGTTTCGGAATGAGTATTTAACTTCTGGAAAGTAAAAAAACTTAATTATTGAGATTTTGTAATATTCTCAATTCAGCACACTCGAGAAACGCTTTGTCTACATCAAATGTCACTTTTCTCGGGTCGAGAGTGAAATATCGTATCGGCACACTTGAGAAAAGTGACATTTGGGTGTAGATAAAACGTTCTCGTATCTCTCATGCTATGCGTGCAGGAACCAGCCGATAGCTTTAAGCATTTTATGTTCTTCAATCTACGCATTAACAAGGTTTAAATACATATGTATCCTTCCTACATGTTTTTTTACTATGATTTTTCTGGAATGTTGAATAAAGTTTGGGACACACCCGCGAAATTACACTTACATCAATTTCATTGACATCAGATAGAATCACATGCAACGTTTTTGATTCAACAGTAATTAGCTCGGTGGTATAATGGTTAAGTGTCGCGGCATGCGATCGTTGTTGTCAAGCAACTGTCTCAATCACGGGATGGGTGACACAAAAAAAATTCGCGAGCTACTCCCTGCTTCGGAAGGCAAGTTCAGCTATTGGTCCCGGCTGTATTTGCATTTGTTTATAGCCTCCAATCCGCAATGGGTCAACGTGGAGGGTTACAGCCCATCCTCCTTGCTCATCCATAAGGCCTGAGCCCCTGCAGTGAGGACGTAAAAGGGCTTATGATAACGATGATCTAAAAAAAACAGTCTCACGACCGGTTTCTGAATTGAGAAAAGTACAAAATCTGAACTAAAGCAAAAAAAAAAAAAAAAAAAGCTTTAGTTAATGAATATTCATTAACTAAAGCTTTTTACTTTTCACACAAGGTACAAATGTCCTAGTTTTAAATGAATGAATGAACAAACGAATGAATGGATGTAAGAATGAATTTATTTGCTTTAATGTGGTTATATAAAAGAGGTTAAACAATCTTTAGCGATCACACAGTTAGCAGTTTCTAGCTTGCAAACACATTATTATATTTGTAAAACAGATTATACATATTACAGGACATAACACAAACTTAAGATTACAATAAACAATGTCTCGTCAACGATAAAAATAATTCAATTAACAATAATTGTCACGTACAGAGATTTTTTATACACAATTCAGAGACAAACCCGGTCTTTTAATGATCAGTCGATAGCAGTTCGATAAAAAAGTTTCCACTTGCCTGAAGTATCTTCTGCACGCCCCTAGCTACACCGTAGTGCTCCGCTCCGATTATATTGGGGTCCATCACCCGCGAGGTGGAGTCGAGCGGATCCACGGCCGGGTACACACCGAGCTCGGCTATAGCCCTCGACAGTACCGTGGTGGCGTCCAAGTGAGCGAAGGTGGTCGCTGGAGCTGGATCAGTCAGGTCGTCCGCCGGTACGTACACAGCCTAATCATAATTCACTACCGGTCAGTTACACAAACGTTCATTAAGGTTTAATGACGCCTTCAAGCTCTAACGAATGTCAAATTTGTATGGGTAATGTCACTTTAAACTAATGAAACATTTAATGGACGTTTGTGCAACTGGCTGAGATACCAAGCGTGCCAACGGTGGGACGGCGCTTTGCTATCTACTTATCTATACTTAAGGGGAGTCCGGGAGACTTGGTCAGATGGGGGAGTTGAAACACTTTTCAAAATTCAACGTAAATAGGGATGACGACTGGGTAAACAAAGCCGCGTGTACAAAGTAACCGGTGCATGAGCCCACAGTGTCACTACTACATCATGTCTTATGTACGAAAACCGATAGTCAATGAAGTATTTAAAAAAACGAAAGCACTAAAATGCACCACCACTAGATGGCGACTCTAGCAAAAGTTGATTTTTGTAGGATTAAATAACATATTAAAAAACTGAAATTTGAAAATTTCGAAACTTAGATATCAATACAAATACGAAAAAGTACAAATAGAACATGAGTTGTTTATTCAGTTTTGAAAACTAATTTACTTTTAAACATGAAAAAAACCGGAATTGTTGTCATGGAGAAATCAAGAACTTACCGTGGCGACATCTAGTTAGATTTTGGGAACTAATTTTTTTTTTAATACTTTCCCATTGTATTGTACGCTATGTGATTTACACGACAATATCGCCATCATAATGTGTTGATATAAACTCTTGTTTAAGGAGCGTGTAGTCGAAACATATGAGCCATGCACCGATTTTATAAACTTTCAATAATTACATTAAAATTTTCATTAACTGTGATATCTATCAACTTCCACACTTGCGGTGGTTCTTGCGAGATTTGTTGCCGTTCATACGTGTGAATTTATCTCCGGACGGCGGCCCCTCTTCAAATCTTGCAGATACTGACTTGGTCTGGAAGTTGTTAGACATTATAGTTCCTAAGTCTGCAAGCCAACACCTGATTCCATCAAACTTAACATTACCTGCACACTGGTGATGGATCCAGTCTTGGTGGTGGTGATCCTCTCCTGCATGGTGCCCATGTCAGTCGCCAGAGTGGGCTGATAACCCACGGCTGACGGTATACGACCCAATAACGCAGATACCTATCAACATCAGCCTATTATTGTCATTAGGCTTTCCTATAGGTGAAACCAACTATGAAGAACCTGCTATTAACGTAAGTACATGTAGGTCGAATCAATATAGACCATATTATTGTATGTCATTATATGTATGTAGGACATAGATCTTCTCTATGGATGGCTGCAGATACAGCCAGGAACAACAATCTAATTCGCCTTCCAAAGCACGGAGACTAAAACAATAATATGCTCAGTCTTTAAATCAGCTCAAACGCTTAACTGGAGCTTGAATCATTCAAGCTCGATCAACTATCAGAAGAACTACCAGCATTAGTCTAGGATTGGATAAACCACACTTGATCGGTCAACTGATTGATATGTTAGCTTTACACATCGTTCAGGCTTTCATATTGACAGATCAACCAAGGGTTTCAGTTAGGCGGTAGTGCCAGCAAATAAAAGTATAAATATACAGTGAAAGCTTCATTGCCCACTCGTTCTGTTGTGAACTTCGCGAACTTACGTTTCAGTCGGCAGATACTTTTGATTATAGACGAGTGAGCTAGGTTCTATCTCATTCAAATTCATCCAAACGTTGAAATATTTTGTAATATTAAGAAAAATAATCTTCGAAACAATCTATTACGTATGCGTCTCGCTATTATGATGCACGAGTACCTCAGAGCCGGCCTGAGTGAAACGAAATATGTTGTCGACGAACAGCAACACGTCTTGTCCTTCTTTATCCCGGAAATGTTCGGCCAAAGTCAGTCCCGTGAGGGCGACGCGGGCCCGCGCTCCCGGAGGTTCGTTCATCTGTCCGTACACTAACGCTACCTGACCGCCAGCAAAGATAAGACAAGACATTGGATTATTTAAGCTTATCACCGTCAGATAATGTATGGGATACATTAATTAATCTATTCATCCATCAATCCATCCAAATATCCATTCATTCACTCATTCATCCAGCCATCCATTCACTCACTCACTCACTCACTCATTAATCCATCCATTCATTCACTCGCTCACTCATTTAAGGACAGCTTACAAGACAAAACACTGATGATAGCATTATTACAAAAATAAAATAGCATACAAATATGTGAGAGACATTTTAATAAAATTTCACTTAATTATTTTATTTTTATGATAATCTATTATTAAACACTTGACCGTTATTTGAAACTTTATGGTTTGGAGATAGGCTCTAGGTTTCCTGCTTGCCTATTTGCCTCTCTTTCTACATATTTTGCCTTTCACTCGCACATCTGACGTCTACTCGACCTCCAGGCAGGCTTTGCGCGCTTGCTTCATTGGCGTCTTGTTTCCTGCAGCGCACGGACGTGCTTCAACGGGTATCTAGTGAGTACATTAACGAATCTTTCTTCTTAGAAGTCAATTGTTGTAGATACCCTAGCCTCTTTTATTATATTTAAAATTCATGAAATGAATTAAAAAAAAAAAAAAAATTTATTTTTTCAAAGTAATAATTTTATATTTGGTTTTTTATACGACCTCCGTAGCCGAGTGGTTCGCACGCCGGTTTCAAGGTGTCGCCATCTCTGAGGTCCCGGGTTCGATTCTCGGTCGGGTCAATGTAGAAAATGAACTTTTCTATATTGTCTCGGGTCTGGGTGAGTCTCATATACTCCATAATATGGGAGCTTTAGCTACTCATCTTGGAATCTGAGCAATGCAATGATTTTTTTTTTATATATTATATATATACAAGTACGTAAATCTACAATTTTGCCAACCATATATGAATCATTTTTGATCAATAGGGTAGACTACTTTCTTTCGAAATTGTTCAATTTCAAATGTGTAATTATTTATTTTTAGAATTTATCAACTACCCTCTTTTTGCAATAATAAAATTCTTTTATCTAGATATTTTCAGAGAATCATTAAATCATTAACTTTATAATGAATAATTCAAATGATGGAAATGTTTACAGTAATAATGAGAATACATTACATAGTGATACGGCTAATAACGGATCTCACAATCGAACAAAGAAACGAAATAAGCGTTGTCGCAGTGCCTCGAGTAGTAGCTCTTCGAGCTCCTCGTGTAGTTCTTTGTCATCCTCATCGTCTTGTACAGAACCTGTGCGGTCAAAGCGTAACCGTCAACGCGAGATCGTCGTTTCAGTAAATTAATTCGCGAAGTGTGTCCTACGTAAACGAGTGTCTTATTACGATATGCCATCTACGTCGCGTTCGAATCGTAATTACGAAGAAATTATAGATGGTAACGATAGCGAAGAGTTACTTCGAGATTGTAACGTTTTTTTAAATATTAAAGATATTTGAATGATAAACCATTTGCTGCGTTAACTTTTGTGTACTGAAGCAACGCGATGCTTTATAAACAGCCTTAAGGTCTTTGCTGCAATAGGGACACGATAAAACCGTGTTCCATTATGAGCAATTTCATGAAATCAATTCCTCTGAAATGCTACAAATTATTTGTGGTGATAAGGCCTAAGTAATACAGATGAGGAGAGACGCTATTGTAAATTTCGTTCGAGATCCGTTAATTAAAGTAGCCTTAAGAAAAATTCCGCCATACTGCTAACAAGGCTAACGAACCTCCCCTCGCTGGGGCAGGTATTTCTCAATGCTCCCTCGCAGGGAAGCGCTCATGGATATTGTGCATCTACGCATATTTCCCATGCAAATCAACCTCCGTAAGGTTGGTATCAACCTCGTTCCTCGCAGGGACAGAAGGTACAAAGCAGAACATTTATTCAAACAAGAGGAATTTACTACCCTCCTATAAAAACAGGTAGAGTGCGAAAAGCTTTTGTGATCTTGAACAAAGCAGACTAACGAACCTCCCCTCGCTGGGGCAGGTATTACTCAATGCTCCCTCGCAGGGAAGCGCTCATGGATATTGTGCAACTACGCATATTTCCCATGCAAATCAACTACCGCAAGGTTGGTATCAACCTCGTTCCTCGCAGGGACAGAAGGTACAAAGCACAACATTTATTCAAACAAGAGGAATTGACTACCCTTCTATAAAAAACAGGTAGAGTGCGGAAAGCTTTTGTGATCTTGAACAAAGCAGGCTAACGTACCTCCCCTCACTGGGGCAGGTATTTCTCAATGCTCCCTCGCAGGGAAGCGCTCATGGATATTGTGCATCTACGCATATTTCCCATGCAAATCAACCTTCGCAAGGTTGGTATCAACCTTGTTCCTCGCAGGGACAGAAGGCGACAAGTAGTGATTTTCATTCGACCACTTTATACAATAGAGGCTTTGGTGCAAAGAAGGTCGTTTGAACAATAGAGATCACGATCACAATAGAGGACGTAAACATACAGGTCCATCCATTGAGAATAATGCGCACGCAATTAATGTAGGTTTTGACAAACAGGCACTCAAAGGGGGCCAGTTGTCGCAATATCATAACCGTTGGCGTTACTGGGCGCTCCATATTATATTTTGAGGCTCAATCAGGGGTATCGCATACCCTTTCTTCGGGGGTATCGCAAAGTCGTAGTTGTACCAAATCCTCATGACATTCGGTTTGCCACTCCTATCACCGACACAATGACATCGTTAATATTACTATTATAGAGTCAAGCTGTTCTCGAACCAGTCAAAATAGCACCACGCTTTCTTTCAAAGATGTTGCTTGTTCTAAAGACCGATGGCTCTCCACGGCCCATTTTCAACCGTTAAACGATTTTGTCATAACAGCCCCAAAAGTCACAAACTGGGTAGCCCAAAGTCTACGAGCAGAGGGGATACGTATAACTGTTACTGGGACGATTTTCCCATGACCCACTTAGATCAGCAGGTCTTACAATTTCGAGCTCAGCTCTCGAAAGAAAGCAGTTTCTTGAGTGGCAAGTAAATCTGAAAAAATCTATACTAGTTCCTCAACAAAGCCTTGTTTTTCAGGGGATGAAAGTAGCGCAGCAAAAAGAATTACAACCTTATTGGCCTATTTAATTTTTCCAGCTTCGTAATCCCTCAAGGGCGATTACATATATACATATATATACCAATCCACCCTTCTATGGCAAAGCGACAACAAAACAGCTATTGCTTACATTCGAAACGAAGGTGGAACAAAATCCGCATCTCTGATAAATATGGCTTACCAAAACTTTCAGTTAATGAAGCTGCATTTAATTTGAATGATTGTGTATCACATACCGGGAAGGTACAACGGCCATGCAGATCATCTATCTCGTTTCTGATTACCACCAGAGTGGCATCTTCTACCTGCATGTGCAGAAATTGTGTTCAAAAAGTTTGGTGTGCCTGTGATAGATTTATTTGCATCGAAGACTGCTCATGTCGTTGCGAATTATGTTTTTTGGACCAAAACGATGTTTATTCAATTTATCACGGAGCTTTTTCCCGTTAATAGAACTATGCGAAAGGTTGGATTTTCCTTCCTCCTTATCTAATTTTCAAAGAATTTAGTCACCTCAACCAAGCTCAAGGCACTTATTTCGTCAATGGGATCGAGTAATTTGGTGAGCAGGTCTGAAATCCAGAGCATTGGTTCCACCGTTTACCATACCCCACCTAAGTCGTTACCTGATAGATACCTCAACGAATTTTTCCATCTTCGAAAGTACAAGAGATGATATTGGTAGTGTGGATTTGTAGGGCTGGTCAAGTAACGTAACTGACAGCTCAATCTTTTACAATTATCATGGCGTTCATCTACGCGCAAGACATATAGGGCAGCCTGGCTTAGATGGCTTAAATGGAACAAGCTACATAAGTTAATGCTTTTCAACGTAATGGTTCAGTATAAGCAAGGTTTTTAGCTTATTTATACCTTAAAGAATTATTCTCTTATTTATAACACAGTATTGTTACGTAATATCCACGTTGTGTAATACAGAACTATCAGGTTCCCATAGTTCTCACGTGTTTATTCGACACGTTGTTATGTCAATTTCTTTTAAAAACCCCGTAACACACAAAACGTCTGTTTGGGATGTTGATAATAATCTTATGTCTTTTTTAAAACATTATACTTTGACAAAGAAAGCAAATTCTTAGTCTCTGGACACACTGCAATGTGACTTTGTTTAGGTCGTAGAGTTCATGACCTTACTTTATTAGCAGTAGATTTTGACCATTTTAAGAGAAATGACGACTACATTATTTTAAAATGTAAATTTATATATCTACTAAAACTATTGCACATTATCAAACAGTAAATATGTGATACCATTATTTTATGACGTCTGTTACCCCATATTTTAATGCAATAAATGATTGATTGATTGATTGATTTATGGCCTAGGTTTGGATCTAAATCTGATAATTCTAACTGCAGGCAATTGGATTGGAAAATAATGACAGATACAAGCAATAAAAATCTCGATCCCGTTTATTGGGTAAATAAATGTATGAACCTATTACAAGATCGACAAATAATCTTTCAGTCGACGAAATCTTATATCTCGTAGTAACTGGAGATCTGAAAATACTTTTAGAAAATTTTATAAACGTGAACGTTTCCAACTTCAGCTATAGTACGAATCAAAATATTATAAATACTTTTGTAACAATTACAAATTGATTAATTATATAAATTTAAGCAACATCACTGATTTTGTACTACTTTCAGTTTAGTAATTATTACAAATTGCATTGACTTAATAACTAAGTAAGTCTTTGCTACATAATATCAAGCTTATTTAATTTGATACAAAGATTGTACCTCGTATATCGAACTCTATAATATGAAACAAACAATTGTGTAATTTTCTTTCAAATCCATTTTCATGTCTAATGTCACATTGGCGTCGTTCATCTCCACCAGGCGATAACAAACACGTCTCAAACCATAAAGTTTCAAATAACGGTCAAGTGTTTAATGACAGCGTTTTTCCTGAAATAAAACGCTTATTAAATACTTACCTTATTTGAAACTTTAATTTAAATGCTGCCTGGTGGGTTTTTCGACTCAATGAAGCAAGCGCGCAAAGCCTGCCTGGTGGTCGAGTAGACGTCAGATGTGCGAGTGAAAGGCAAAATATGTAGAAAGAGAGGCAAATAGGCAAGCAGGAAACCATAGAGCCTATCTCCAAACCATAAAGTTTCAAATAAGGTAAGTATTTAATAAGCGTTTTATTTCAGGAAAAACGCTGTCATTGCATCAATAATGTTAGATTTAAAATAAGTTACATTTTGAAAAAAATATATAAATCATTATTTTTATTCGCAAAGACATTATAACGATTATGGCATCATATCTTTTTATTATTCACATTTCGTAATTTAAAATTTCTGGTAATCCAATATGCTCTAAAAAGTTCATCTGACGTGTACATGATAATTTAATCATATTATCATATTTAATTCAATATAAGTTATTATTATTTATACAAGAAACATGTAAACGTATATCTTCGTGAAATATCTTCTAAGTTCTACCTATTACGGAAAACCCAGAAACGGGGTATGTAACTGTTCTATTTAACTATTTTAATTATATATTTTCTTCTCAGTCTCAAGTAACGCTCCTGCCAGAGTGGCTGAAAAAGCTCACTCGCCTCACGTCACTATATATTACTCTTGCTATGTGCACATCTAAAGCACTCACCTTAGAAGTTTTATAGTCATCTGTTATAACACCGCCCACTTTCATCTCGTTGTATAGATCATTGCCTTCACGCGTGCGCTCCCCTACTCCGGCAAACACCTGTAGATCATTATCTTCTATACTATCATCATAACCTAAACCAGAAGGATTGCTACCATGCACATTTTTATTGAGCTTTTTATTATTAGCAAAAACTGCCTTGAACAAATTTAGATCTTTATCGAAAGTTTTAATATTTGTAAAAATATTTCTTTTGGCTGTTTGGTTGGATTGCCTGAATATTGATCAAAATACGCTTTGTATAAGCGAAAAAGTAACAAGTGCTCGAAAAATTCGACAGTCCTGTTAGTTCAATGGTTAGAGCAATCGCCCGAATTGCGAGAGATCGTGGATTCTAGTCCCATCTTCAGAGTGCTGGAGACAAAGTGGTTTTTTTTAACCATTTTACACTATAGTATTGTGAACGCGAAATTGATCAAATATAATAATTGCCTTGCAGATTTGGAAGATCTGCCTAAGAAAACCACCCGTAAAAACTTCAGTTACTCAGTGATCGTGGCCCTTACAACAGCGCCGAAGACTATGATTATTTTTTATTACAATCATAGATATTATAGCGATAGACAAATATTAGAAAACATCATGTTCAATGCTCAGTTGCCAAGACAAGAAACTAAACGAGTATTATGAAAGTCTGAAACAATTGTAGGCCATATCTCCGAGACAACGAAACTCCTTTTCATTCCAGCGAAACCTTAAAGATCTAGAAACTTTGAAGGCGGCGTGCGATAAAAGATACAATAATTTTGCTATCTTTTATATATTGTGCTGCACCTCAGCGTGCTAGGACAGCAGCTAGGACAAGCAGTTTTCTTACCATCTGGTATACTTACGGAGAAACCTCCATGTGCCTTGGCCACATTGTTGATGAGCTCCATGATCAGTACCGTTTTGCCGACACCAGCACCACCAAAAAGACCAATTTTGCCACCTATAAATTTAAAGGTTCTAGCTGAAAACAAGTGAACAGCCTCAAAAACAAGAAAAAAGAAACCAAGTCTCCTAAGGCCCTTAGTCCTTAGTTATTAACAAGTGTTTTTTAAAGTTTCAAGAAGAACTGACAAGAAATTCGGGAAGAATTGTTCATTGTATACAGGGGTGTTAAATTAAAAAAAAACTATTATATCTAGACAGATTACATACCTATGATTATGTTAATGAACATACGAAGCCGAAAATAATTATAATAGAAATACCCAGGAAGATCACTAGAAGCCTTTATCGGGGTCTTTATTCGTGTCGTGAGTGACACAATTATGAAACTACGGATCTTTCTTAGTTCGTTGTTACCTTTGACGTAAGGTGCGAGGAGATCCACCACCTTGATGCCGGTAGCGAGGATCTCCTGCTCCACGGACATCTCCACAAAGGGTGGTGCGTCCGCGTGGATAGGTGCGAACTTGTCCGTAGTTATTGGTCCACGCTCGTCTGAAGTTAATGTATTTTTTTTTCTATTTATCAAAATTTTTTCTTACTACTCATTCAAAATATACATAGTTTGAATCTCTTTCTAGCTACTTCAAATAAGGATAGTCTATCATTTTTTATGTTGGATATGATTTGTATATACCGCAAGTAGGTCATTTGTAAGTACCGTCATCAGAATCACTTCTGGTTAACTAGTCGTTAAATAAAACCTCCATTCCACAGACCACTTGGGATGTTTCCAGGGACCATCTATGGTTCGCGAATCACTTGTTAAGAACCATTCACCTAGAGGAACCCAAAAAATTCTTGGGTATTGAAGGCTAAGTTAACATACCGATAGGTTCTCCGATGACGTTGATGATTCTTCCCAGGGTCGGTTCACCTACTGGTATGGTGATCGGAGCGCCTGTATCAGTGATAGGCTGGCCGCGCACTAGACCTTCTGTTCCATCCATGGCGATAGTGCGACATGTGCTCTCACCTAAATGCTGAGCCACTTCCAAGATCAACCTTGGAGCTGGTATAATAAAATCATTCATAATCACCAGGTTATTAATATCTCCTCTTTAGCAGCTCAAGCTTTCCAAGGAATTGAATACTCCCTATTGCCATGATTAACCATGTGAGAACATTGGAGATAGGTGGTTATTAACGACTACAGATGCAGCCGGGTCCAACGCTTAATGCGCCTTCCCGAGCACGGAGGAGGTCTGGGTAATAAAGTTTTGGTAACACATCAGGTGCTGGCTTTTGCGAAAGTCCCTTAACCCTGCTTTAGAGATGAACCATTGCTTCATCGAGCTTGTCACACACGAAAACTAACTAATGAACCTGAATGGTATAAATGGGTAAATGCTGAAACTAATTATTTTCTATTTGATAGAATTATTATGAGCAAGATCTTAAAAATCCGTAAGGATCTGTGAATGCAATGAGCCAAGTTTTCTCCAAAGGCAAACTATGAACGTAAGCCATTGTTAACTTCACTGTAAATATAAACCGCTACCGCTTGTCTCTTTTAACTTATTTTAATGAATAGGTCCAGTATAGTTGTTAGTATCTGCAGATAAATTATTTATACTAATTATATAAAGAGGAAAGAGATGTATGTTTTTAACGAATATATGCAACGAATTCCCTCCGAAACTATTGGACTGATTTTATAATTTTTTTTACCTACGGGAAGATACAACATATGCGGTGAATAAAGGCTATATTTTATCCGGAAAAACAGTAAATAAAGGGAAGAAAATTGTAGTGTAAGTTTGTATAGGGTATTAAAACTTTACTATAGTAAAGATTGTTTACTATTAAATTAGTCATTGTAATTAAATCCATGTCATGATATGAATCGATATCTAAATAAACATTTCTCTAGGGACCACGCGAGCGAAGCCGCTGGCGGAGAGCTAGTAACTAATAAGCACGAAGAATCCAAAAATCATCTGTAACTTACTTCTTCCCGGTACTTCGAGAGCGTTCAATATTGGCGGCAGATGCTTGTCGAATTGAACGTCTACCACGGCGCCGATCACTAAACAAAACCCACACACAACTTAAGAATACCTTAACTATAAAGTATAAATTGCAAAAGAGGTCAGAGCAGTGGCGGACTAACTCTGTCGGGGGCCCGGGGCGGCATTGGGTCCGTACCTACAACTTTTTACAACTGGTGCAGAAACTTGATTTTGTGTTTACACCGCCTCCTCTGCTAACATCATCATCAGCCCTTTTTACGTCCCCACTGCAGGGGCTCAGGCCTTTCTTATGGATGGTTAAGGAGGATGGGCCATGACCCTCCACGCTGGCCCAATGCGGATTGGAGGCTATTAACGACTGCAAAATGCAGCCGGGACCAACGGCTTAACGTGCCTTCCGAAGCATGGAGTAGCTCGAGATAATAATTTTTTGGTCACCCATCCCGTGACCGACCCTTGCGAAAGTTGCTTAACGACTACGATCGCGGGCCGCGGCGGTTATCCACTACGCCACCGAGCTACTCTGCTAAGACTCCTGCTAAAACTACGAAACTAAGAAAGATAAGGCATTACAACCCCAATTTATGATTTGATCAAGGGAATTTTCAGCCATTTGGAGGCCCCCCAGGATAAGAGGGTCAGAGGGCTTTGGGAAGTTCAATAAAAGTAGCACCAGTACACTGGTTCTTGTACTCATAAATTCACACGTCCTAACATTGAGGAGAACGACGATATTAAAAGTTTGTCGTTTGAGCACTCGTCGCAGACCAACTAGTTACAATCTGAGTCATTGGACGTGCAGTTCATTTGCATCTACACAGTTAACACGAGTCAGTTAGGTTTAGCCTTCGAGACACCCTTCGGTACACGTTTCGCCATGGAAACAAACGCTATTAGAACTTTCAGGGAAGTGAACAGATGGTATTCTGAAAAGTTCTGGTCAAAAAAACGATTGGGCATCCTGTGCCCTATGGTAGTGAAGAATTGTTTTTAAAAGTTGGTATATGTGCGATCTCCGTAGCCGAGTAGTTCGCAAGCCAATTTCAAGGTGTTGCCATCTCTGATTTGACTTAGAAAATATACTTTTTTTTCTCTGCTCTGCCTTTTAGCCACTCATCTTGGAAACTGAGCAATGTGATTTTGTCTAATATTTATTTATATCTTGTAGACCCTGATTTAGGTACTTATTGCTGTATCCAAAAATACATCGCTTTTATAATAAATTTTCCATCGAAATTATACTAACGTGGTTTTTTGCAATAGCATTTAACATTTCTGTACATAACAATTAATTACTACTTTATATACCTATAAATAATACCTACCCGCTATAATTTTCCCATGGCCGCCTGCAGTGCCAGACTTGGGAGGGCTTCCTCCTCCCCCTCCTCCTCCAGAACTCGACTTGGGTGGACCAGAAGATGGCGGAGAACCACCGCCTGATGGGGTCTTGGATTCGCGGTTCACACACGGATTACTTCCGGAGGAATACTGCACGTACACGAAAATTGTATTCTAATCTATCCTAATGAAATATAGATGCAAAGATGATTATAAATCAAAATGAGATAAATGTAATTTGCGAGATTAGCCTTCATTATTACAAGTTAATTTATACTCTAGGTTTGTCCTAATGAAAATTGTATTGATGTGAAGATCAGAAGATTAACGAATTTTTTTGATTTCAAAGAGCAACGTCTAGCCTGGATACTTTTTTTTTAAATAATTTATTATAGGCCTGTCTACTACAATAAAATTAGTTATTAATGAAAGGGAAGTTAAGAAGTCATTTTTACACACACCGGGGGAAATAAGAACGGCGAAAAGAAGAAATAAATTAAAGCGTATTTGGTTTAGATATTTAAGCGTAACAGACAGTTGCAACATTAGTAAAGATAAGTAATAATAAATAATGCATGAAGCAAAGCTTTTATTTATTTATGTTAGATTCTAAGTCAGGTAAAATATGTAAAATATTTTGGTTTTTTTGTTGGGTTGAGTGTTGTCAATTTATAATATTGGATGTTGTACAATTGTGCTTTGTATACTATATTATGTCCCACGCAGATAGCTAATCTATGTCAAAATTTGCCGTGATCGGAATTCGGTCAGGATTATGCTCAATGTATGAGACAGTAACAGAAAAGTTTTTATTAAATAAAAATATTACAAGTATCAAGTCGTCTTTATCCTATTCCCCAATGTTCAACAAATTAAAATTTCCATATTTGCCATCAGATTCTGGTACGCTTATAGAGATTTATTGCAATAATCATTAAAATACAATATCTATGAGTTAGAGAAAGAATTCAGTTAGATTGCGTTTAAAAATTATGTGGTACCTGCATACCGCGGGTTCTACCACTTATCTCCATTACTTTGGTAATAGGCTACAATTTAAGACGTCATCGCGACATTTCCTCATATCATAACGTAATTATTAAGTGACAGGATAGATTGACTTAAGGTTTAGAAAGCTTAAGCTAACGCATTCGCTAATTTTTAGTATGAGATAGAGAACCTCCGGAACTTGCTAGATTCCAATAAATTGCAACAGCAATTGTGACTGAAAGTGATCACAGCCTAGCGATGTCGGCTCTCGTATCTCTTGTGGTTGATCAGTTCAAATTTATGACATTCTAGACATAGATATTCAACAACACGCTACTTACATTTCTGAAAGGAACACCGAGCTGAACGCAGGCACCAAGCTTTAGCACTGATCTGTTAGTGTTCAGATGTCTGGTGTGAGCTTCAGAGTTCGAAATAGCGATCTTCTGATCGCGCCTCTGCGTCGGATTGTATTCGATCTTAGAAGTCGAATCTAGAGGAATTTGAAAATTTAAAGTCTGATCAGTTTTAAGTTTCCCTTCGAAAAGACCACACGAGGTTATTTGAAATAAATTACACCCCCAAATCACGCTATAACATAATGCTGTTCACACTAGTTGAGCGTTGTCGAACCCAGTAGTAGAGCGTTGTCATCCAGTGCGTCAAAGATTATTTCGGCCTTCTTTGACCTGGACGAAATCCGACGCAGATAAATAGAAGCGGTGAGATCTGTTTTATATTTGTATGTGAGAATCAGATCTAATGGGTTGCTACTATAAGCTTAGAATTATTTCAATAACAAGTGCTTGAAAACTCGTCAGTCTTGTTAGGTCCTGGGTAGCTCAGAGGTTAGATAAGTCGCCCGGATTGTGTAAGATCACGGGTTCGAATCCCATCTCAGTATGACAAAGGCAAAGTGGATTTTTTAAGCATTTTTCGCTAAAAATATATATTTAAAGGGTATCATTTATATAATAAGTTAAAAAAAATAATTTAATATTCAAAATTTTCCTCTTATCAAATAAAATAATTTATAAAAACCCAAAACTAATATCGTACTATGTATGTTCCGCCGCGTCTACTCATAAGTTCTGATATGAGTAGACGCGGCGTGAAGTCACGCGCTGTCTGCGGTCACGTGACACCATGTATAAAATATCTGTTCCTTCATAATTAATTTAAGCAATATTTATTTTCGTTTACTGCCTACACCAGTATTCTGCAGCTTCAGAAATAACTGCAAAAGACATAAATAATGTGAAATATGATACTCGATTGATATTAATTTACTTCGAGTTGTGAAGTTAGCCATCGAAACACTGTCATTTTCTGGGAATACTGAGGGTTCATTGCAGGAGCTGTAAAGTGCATTACGAGTAGAATGTCGGTCTGAAAGTAAAAACATAATAAATCATATATGTATTATCCAGTCTACACTGGTTTTAGTTAAGAATAAACAGAAAAAAATCACTAGATGCGCTAATAGGGATGATGACTAATTTTTGTTTGTTTGTCCATCAGGTAGAGTGTTAAAAAATATTAAACAGGTATTTTTAATTTTTTTTATAATCATAAAATTACGGCGTTACATTGTGTTGAAATTTCGCATGACGTCACGTTAGAGTACGTTTTCTACTCAACTGTGACGTAGCGAGCCCCCACTCCTCAACTTTAATGCCTGTTATCTAAGCTATTTCTTGTTAAATTGAAGTAAAAAATACGTATCTAATATTTTACTATTATCAGACTGACGGACTAAATAGAATTGCATTTTTTTACCCAGTCGTCATCCCTATTATCTACTTATCTAGCTACTAATCTAACTAGCCTATTCTGCTAACGTTTACGTTACTTAATAATGGAGTTTTAATTACTTGCATTTTACAAAGTCAAAGTCAAAATAATATTTATTAAAATAGATTTCTTAAAAGTGCTTTTGAATCGTCCAAAATTTTTTTTCTCTCTACCACTCGTTCAGGACGTCTTTTGGCTGATAAGAAGAACGAGCAACAAACTCATCAACTTTAATAAGAGTAATGACATTCACAAAAACCATGTGTCATTATCAGATCAATACATTAAACTTGCCACCGTATTATCTACCTTAAACCCAATACTATATATTTATTATTTTGCGATCTAGTAACTAGAACTGTGTCTTAAATATAGTTAAAGTATTATAGACTTTCTTAATTACGCTAAAATTAGCAGAATTGTCCTATAGTGCGTGCGTAGTTTGTAGCGCGTAGCAAGTAGCGCAGCGTAACAAACCGAGCGTAGCGTATGCAAAACCGTAGCACATCTTTCAAATATTGACTAGTTAGAAGGAAAAAGTGTACGTACTTCGCGTGCCGAAACGACGTCTAGACAGCTTCGTTGCTCGCCGCGAGGCTCAGTCTACTTTCGATTGTAATCCGAGTTCAACGTTAGGTGTGAAATTTAAAATGACGCGTTGTTCAATAATTAACTGCTCAAACACCACCAGTATAGTTGGATCTTATAATCGAGGTATTTCCTTCCATCGGTAAGTAATTATTTGTTTTGATATATCCATTAAGCATTAAAAATCATTTGATTTCTTGCTCCGCATTATTTTCGTCAAAACGATCACGTGTCCAGTAATAGCTTTCCATTACGGCTTTAATTTGACGAACCAAATTTGCCGTGCTTGTAAAACCATCGATCTATAATTCAAGGACAAATTGTTGAAGGTCAAATTCTGACAAAAATGGCGAATAGTGCTGTACAATGCGATGTTGTTTAACCGATTAAAAAAAATCGTTTTTTAAGCAGAAGAAATGATAATTTATTTTTTATATTGAATATTTGTACTGTATTTTTTTTAAGTTTTCCGAATGATCCATATATTAAAAAAAATGGATTGAAGCAACAGGACGTAAAAATTGGTATCCTACAAAAAACAGTCGGATTTGTTCAATTCATTTCTATGAAGATACCTTTACTGGTCCATCAAAGTACCGACGAGTAATAAAAACAGCATATCCGACTATTGATGTTGTGATAATGACAACTGAAAAAAGGTAAAGTATACCTTAAGATTTTTTACATTATTTCATACAAAAAGTGTAATCTACCAGCGATCCTATCGAACATGAGTCTGCCTGTTCGTCCGTATGTCACAGCCGTAATTTTCCGAATCTAATGGATAAATCAGGTGACATAAATAGATAGGATAGTATCACAGAAATATATTTAGTGACAGTGTAATATTTCTTTTGCACATCTTTGTTTAGTTACAGATTCAAACACAGTTGTTCGAGGGAATTAAATAAAAGAAGAAGTTAAATGAACAATAACACCGTTTAGCTTAGTAGTAGCTAAACGGTGTTTACTGTTAGGATTTCAAATGTAATATTTTGTATTACAGTGGATATTAATAGTGGCCTCAGCACACATTATTTTGCTTAGGCAAATTATACATGGCATCATTCTATCTATTGGTGAAAACTAGTTGTTTTTGACTTTACTGCAAATAGAAAATGAAATAGTTACTTTGTTTTATAATATTTTGTTTTATATAATTAATGAATGTAATACTATTTGTGCCGCAGATAGACCCATCTTGTTCAGATAAGGAATCAAATAATATGTACAGGAAGAGAAAGTGTGAAATGGTAAGTAATATCATAAAATTCAGAGTATTTTTGTATTGAACGTATATTGATATAAAGTATGTGATACTGTATTATTGTGACAATAAATTATTGATCCATTTAGTTTTGTAGTCATTGACGCAATCTCGATCTCAATTAATCGACTTATATTGAATTCTAAATTGAAGTCTGTGACTTTCTCATTTTTTTTCTATCGATACGTTAGTATTATCATTTTGTCTGTCAAAACTAATTATCATTTTAGCTGTCGGTTCTTACTGATAAAAATATGATATTAGGTATGCGGTATAAGTAAAATGATTTGGTCACACGAATAATGTTAGACAGAGGAATATACTTATTTCTATTCACAATGAAGACAAAGGTCCGATATTTTGATCGTCAACTACGCTGACTCCGTCACGCCACCGCACGTACTATTTTGTGCAGTTTTACTAAATTACATTCGTGACATATACATAATATTTAAAGCAAAATGTTTCACATTGGTCTCCGTCGTTCGATATCGGTTTTTAAATCGATAAGAATTGGTATGCTGTTTCAAATACAACATGTATTCGATTGAAGAGAAATTATGTTTTCCATCACTAAATTAAGATCGTGACGTCATGATACCTACATAAAATGGGGCACGCTCGGTCTCCATATAAATCGACGAACATGTTCCTTCTAACTAGATCTATTTCTGTGCTTAGAATGAATTAGAATTTTGAGAATTTGGAGAAATTTTTTTTCTTTCGCCTCTTTCTACGCGTTGTATTCTGATAGATAAGCGATCACTTTTAGGATACGACTACGAAATGTTGGTATAAACATTTGGACTCGATGGGTTACTCACAATTGTTTCGACAACGGCATATGTCAAAAGGCAGTTTTGGTAATCTTTTCATTGTTGTAAAATTATAAAACGTTTATTTTAGATTCAATTTGAAATTTTAATTCATTCAATGACTGACGTTCTGTTGACACGTCCATGTGTCATATTCAAAATGTTCAATTTTGGTTTTTTATTTCTAACCAAAGAGTAATAATAATAATAAAAAAGCCGAGAAAAAAGAGCTTACATAAAAATAATAATGATTGACACTATTGCTCACACATAATTACTAATATTAAGATAACAATATTCGTACTTATCCTAGTGCGGGCAAAGGCAGTCTTATCGCTGAAAGCGATCTCTTTCAAAAAACCTTTGATTCGTGTAACATTTGGAGAGAAAGACCGGAAGTACTTGTTACTTTGCTAATACAGTGCGTATTCTTATCAATGTTCAGGTAATCCACCCAAGGATGGCACCCTGAGATAGGATTCGAACCCATGATCTTGACCATGCCAGGGACTAGTGGATTATTTAAGAGTTTAAGCATTCATTAAGATTATTCTTTAGTATAGCATTGTAAATACGAAATTTATCAAATATAATGATTAGAAGAATGTTTTTAATTTTTTGAAAAACCATTAACCTTATCTTAAACCATTATTTTGTTGGTAAAAGTCATAAACAAGAAGGCGCGTAATGATACTCACATTATAAGTCAAATTGAGTCTGAATTGTTATATTGCCCATTACTTTTACAATTAAATGTTACAATTCAAGAAAAATGTGTTTGTATATAACAATTTTATTTTATTTCAATAAAACAATTAATCTAAAGCAAACCAAGGGCTCCTCAAACAGTCGACTAGCCAATTATAGACAAGCGAAACATGACTGATTGTTTTTTAACAATAAAGAAAGAAATGGAGTTTACTTATTATCGCCATGAAATTGATAGTCTAAAACCGAGCTAACATCGTCGTATAATGACTATGTAATATTAGTTCTATACTCTATGGAATGCTTACAGTGTGCTTATGGTATACATTTTTAATAAAGGCGACACGGCGTGGAGCATCAAGTGAGCGGTGCCCTCTAACATGCTTTATGTAAAACGTAGGGCAAGGGGTTAATCGTCTATACAGCCGCGAGTTCTCATCAAACGTTGTGTAAGTCGGGTACTTCATAAAAAGTGCATCGAATGTAACTTTATTACGTCGAATATTTTTACCCGACTAAGTTATAACAAAAAGGCTATGATTTTGACTGGTATGTTAGATCACCAGAATATTAATGTCCCTACGGGGGTATAGCCCTTTTCTAAGAATGGAATCAAATAGCAAGAATGGGCTGTGATTCGACCCAGTTGTGGATCGATGATAAATGTCTTTGGTTTCGAAAACACAGGAGCTCGAGATAAAAAATATAAGTTGTAATATTATTATATGCCTGGATTTCGGAAGATGGATGAGTTACCTATCGTAAGTATACAAACTAACTTTTACTATGGAAGCAACACTGAATTCACGAAAAAATAATTAGCTGTTTCATACAAAATTGTAATACCTACAATGGCTAACAAAATGAAACAAAAGATTATTTTTGAAATCAATTTTCAATAAGAATATAATAATTAGTAGAAAAATATAATAATTAGCCCAAATTTTCGTCTTTGTCGAAATTTTAAATATTTCTTCCGGCTGTTTGGGTGGGTTGCCTGAAAATTGATGAAACTACGCTCTATAGCAGCGAAAAAGTAACAAGTGATTGCAAAATTCGTCAGTCCTATTAGGTCCTGGATACCTCATTAGTTAGAGCAGTCGCCCGGATTACGAAAGGTCATGGGTTCGAATCCCATCTCAGGGTGCTAGGGACCAAGTGGATTTTTTAACCATTTTTCATCAAGAATATGTTATTTAGAGTAGACTATTGCTTTTTATAGTCAACTGTTTTTGAAATGTTGGGTGATACTATTGTAGTGGTCGTGTTATACTCCTCACTGTTCATGAGTTATTATGAGGCAATTTAAAATAGATAGAAAAGGTCATAGAACAAGAAATCTATAGATGCACGATGTTTGGTATATATATATATTTTTTTATTTATTTCAAATGATTTTGGTTACCAGAAAAACTTAAAAGGGGTAAACGATAATAGGTAAAAAGTGTATAATCTAGCAATTAGCTACTTTGGGCACAAATAATATTTATTGTTTAGACTTCTAACACCGATTGTTATATACTTATATAGTCGGACCATAAACACTGTTAAATTAAAAATAAACAAAATATTACTTTAGAATTTCAAAGCTATAACTAATATTATAATGAGGGAAGATTTGATAGTTTGTTTGTTTGCAATGAATAGGCTCCGAAGGTACTGGACCGATTTAAAAAATTCTTTCACCTATGTGAAGTTACATCATATGCGGTGAACATAGGCTATATTTTATCCTAAAAAACAGCAAATAAAGGGATGAAAACGGGAGTGGAAGTTAATACGGCGAATTAAAACCTTGTCATAGTAACCATTGCTTAGTATATGCAGGGGCACCTATTACTATGGGCATCCCTCAGGGATCGATATTAGGACCATTGGTTTTTGCTACATTAATGATCTTCCTCACTTTACAAAGAATTTGTGCGAGAAACTGTTATTTGTTGATGACACCTCTTTAGTGTTTAAAGTTAAGAGGGGTAATGATTGATTTGACGATGTAAATAATGCTCTCGACAATGTTCTACAGTGGTTTGATAATAATAAATTAAAGCTTAATTCAAATAAAACATAATGCATAAAGTTTGCATTAACTAATGTGAGGCATGTCAGTACACTTATAAATGTAAATAGTGAAAAAGTTGAGTTGGTGGAATCGACAAATTTCCTTGGTATTACACTAGATTCCCGACTGCAATGGGATCCTCATATTGATAATTTGTCAAGTAGACTGAGTTCTGCAGCATTTGCTGTTAAGGAAATTAGACTCAAATGTTGAAACGGCAAGATTGGTATATTTTAGTTATTTCATAGTGTAATGACGTATGGTCTATTGTTGTGGGGTTCTGCGGCTAGCATTCAAGATATTTTTATTGCGGTCAGCTCTCTTTATTACAAAAGAGAGCTGTCCGCGCTATATATAATTTACAGTCTAGAGAATCTTTCAGAGGAATATTTGAAGAAATAAATATTTTAACTGTTGCCTCTCAATACATATATGAAAATATTATGTACGCAAGAAAAGATTACGATTCCTTCACAAAAAAAGTAGTGTTCATAATCATAACACAAGAAATAAAAATAAACTTGCCGTTCCAAGCTTCAGACTTCAGAAAACCAGAGGATCATTTCTGGGTAAATGCATTGCTATGTTCAATAAAGTTCCACAAAATGTAGTTGACCTACTCATAAATGAATTTAAAATTAATGTAAAGAACATACTTATGAGTAAAGGCTATTATAAAGTTGATGATTATTTTAAGGATCGCAATGCATGGAATTACCTTCGCTTTGTTCTATAAAGACTAATTATATGTTCAACCTATGTCCTACAGACTTTGAAAGTTGTATTTATTATTGTAATAATTTATGTAAATGTCATTGCTTATGATAAAAAGCTGGTAAGTTTCTTTCGCTTGTTCTTCTTGTCAGCTAAAAGACGTCCTGAACAAGTGGTAGGGGAAAAAAGATTTTTTGGACGATTCAAAAGTGCTTGTAATAGCCTACTTGCATAAAGATATTTTCATTTTATTTCATTCAATTTGTCAGTGTAATTTTATCCGTGTCATGATATGAATTGGTATCCAAATAAACGCTGGCGAAGCTGCTAGCGGAAAGTTAGTACATTATTAATTATTTTGTGATATTAAAATGAAGTGGGGTAATAAAGAGAACCGTATCGCTGTGATTGCATTAGATAAAGTAGGTATGGAGCCAAACACAATTTTAAAAAACCCATACACTTCGTATTAGTCAAAATGTTTGTGTTGGTATTAGTCAAAGGCTTTTTATAGGTATAATGCGTTCAATGAAACTGTTTGTGGGAAAAGATCGATCGAGGGAATAGTCCACCACTGTCTATGTTTGAATTTTTAGATATTTTTATTTTACCTTATACCGTTTGTGCAAGTAAACGTTCGTTTAAAGCAACATAATGGATATAAATTTTCTAGAAAATTCACTAGAGCTCAAAGTCTTCAATAACCTTTACGGACGTTTGTATAAAAGGGTAAATAAAGTCAATTCAATCGAATAAAAAAAAATTTAAGGCATTTTTTTTTAAACTGGTTTCTAGTCTACAGATGGCTCAGTTCTGTCGCCTGATCGTTCATAACACGATCCTTCGCGTTGCCTGGCGTTGCTGTAAGCAGCAATTATAACGCCGTCGCCATGTTTGTTCAATTAGGTTCTTAGCATAGGCTACATTTTTGTACATGTGAAAATTAGACTTCATATTGAAGCCAAGGGAATTCACTCACATAGTATTATACAGGCATCGATTAAGATTATATTTACAGTTAAATCGATATTTTATTTCATTAAATTAATTGAAAATGTTCTTATGCAACACAAACTGCAATTGAAAGGTGCCTAAAGGCCAATTCGCATCTCAATAGAATTTTGGCATTTATTATTTATAGTTAAATGTTTCTTACTTAAGATAACTAATAAAGACACAACTGTCAATCACAGTAGTAGAGTAGCTTGGTGACGTAGTGGATAAGCGCCGCGGCCCGCGATCGTAGTCGTTAAGCAACTTTCGCAAGGGTCAGTCACGGGATGGGTGACCAAAAAAAAATTATTCCGATCTACTCCGTGCTTCGGAAGGCACGTTTAGCCGTTGGTCCCGGCTGCATTTGCAGTCGTTAATATCCTCCAATCCGCATTGGACCCGCATGGAGGGTCATGGCCCATCCTCCTTAACCATCTATAAGGATAGCCTGCCCCTGCAGTGGGGACGTAAAAGGGCTGGTGATGATGATGATGATGATGTCAATCACAAATAGAGATAACAAAGGAATCGCCCAGTTTGCCCTGTTATAACCATTGATATACACTAATTTATAGGTCTTTCAT